ATGTCTACAGTGTATTTAAATTTATGTATTAATAATGTATATGAAAATATTATCTATTAAGAAATATTGGTATTTTTATTATGCAATATTTATATTAATAAATATCATTTGATACATAATATATCAAAATTCAAATGTTCTTTTTCGCCATTATGACCCTAATGTTTTGGCCGTTATGTAGTTATGACCAAAATGTTTGACCGTTATGACCAAATACTTGAGCCATTTTGGTTTAGGGCCTTTATGTCCATAACCCCTACTACTAGGCCTAGTACTTCAACAACTTTAAAAACTAAAAGTGTGTCTCATTCACCCCTACTCCATCATTAATTTCACCAAAGGAATCACATCATGGTGCAGTACTTGTTACTACTTCATCAGAGTTAAAGAAGTCAGTTTTACCAGAGATCTGTATAATTTGCAAGAAAAAATCCAAGTATGTTCGAGCTGGGGCCACACAAAAGAGGGACAATTTAGTCCAGTGCGAAAAAAAACAGCATTTTTATTATTTTATTTAAAGCACCAATAACACTTTTGCTGCTTTCATAAGTCCAGTGAAACAAATACTGGTAGCCTTATTCTAACTACTAAATGAGTTAGTGTCTTACTCTTAGTGTAAATTTGATCGACTACATGTACAGTATCGGTTATAATTGTTTAAAGAAATCAGAATATTTATTAATCAGAAGCAAGATTCGAACATTGAAAGTGTGTTTGGCACTTTTATCGATGATTACATGTACACTATGTCGTAGGTGAGCCCCATATTGATGGGGGGGGGGGGTGTCATCTGTTCAATCGCTATTGCAGACAAAACCCATTTTTCTATATGAGAATGAAATTTGACAGCTTTTCATTACAGTCAAGTGTTATTTGAATTCATATATCTATTGAATTGTAAGCTTATACATTGTAGATTCAAAATTTTATTTCGTCCATATGGGCTTTTCCCTGACAATTCTGAGCTAGTTCAAATTATTTAAGCATTTATTCTTAATATTTCTGCAACTTTTTAAGTTCTCAACCTTTATTTCAAAATATGTTTTTTCATTCTTAATCTTAGCTATACACTAGCCTATCCATGATCATTATTAAGACAGCAGGCTAGACATGTTTTAAGTATGTTGTTATGTAAAATGAATGATTTTATTAGAATTACACTTATAGAAGGAGCGACCTTGTTGTATTCTCTGTAATCTCCCTTGATATTAAGGCATTTTTCTAGTGAAATCGACCGGTCCAATATCCTTAATCAGTGTCAAAAAAACCTGACTGACTGCCACATTTTATGTCAGTGCGTAAACAAAATACCTTTTGTGGCTCTAATACACCACTTCTCTACACGGATGGGACGTTTTTTGGGTTAATTTCATCTCTGTTCGTCCCGACCGCGGGCAATTTGCAAGGTAAATCGTGCACATGGCTTTGTTTACAAATGCTATGACCTGGCACTTGACCCCAGAATTTTTGACCGCAATTAAGCGCGACCGCTGATTGGCCAAATTTTAAATATCCTGTCCAATATCCTTAATCAGTGTCAAAAAAACCTGACTGACTGCCACATTTTATGTCAGTGCGTAAACAAAATACCTTTTGTGGCTCTAATACACCACTTCTCTACACGGATGGGACGTTTTTTGGGTTAATTTCATCTCTGTTCGTCCCGACCGCGGGCAATTTGCAAGGTAAATCGTGCACATGGCTTTGTTTACAAATGCTATGACCTGGCACTTGACCCCAGAATTTTTGACCGCAATTAAGCGCGACCGCTGATTGGCCAAATTTTAAATAGCTGCGCAGGATCCAACTCACATCTACGCAAATATGGCTTGGCACTATAAAGAAATAAGTCATCGATTTCTAGCCTATTTCGAGCTTGAACTATTAAATTGGCAGATTTTATTGGAGAACTTTGTTGACATATTGATTGCACGAATATTGATAGTCAGATTGTAGACCGGTTTAGCGGGAGCGAAGGTGACAAGATTTTCACCCCGAGAATTCGGCCTATAATGATCAGTCACAAACTTCTTCACTTCTCTAAATATTGTGTAATCAAAACAAGCTCTATATTACAACTTTTTTTTCTTTCCCTTGTCTATGTGAACTTCATATGGACATGGGAATGAGAGAGAGAGAAATGGGGTTTAAGGTCCACTCGACACAAACTAGGTCATTTTGGGACTAACACATGATTCAATTTTATTTCAATAATTCGCTTGCGTGTAGGGGTCTTTAGCGGTTTGAGGAAACCGGAGGACCCAGAGAAAACCCACAAGGTTGGACAGGTGTCCCTACTCCTTGTCACGTACATGTACAGCCACGGAATCGAAGACATGGGAATAAAAAAAGTTGTGAATGGTATGGAATGTATGTAAAACACACTGAGTAATGATAATACTTATTTTATCTATGAATACTGATAGATAATTGAGGGAGCTGAATTAGAATTAGATGGATGTCAATTTCTAAACCACAATAAAATGCACTTTTGTGTGTTGATATGATATTATATTTCGAAATTGACAATTTTGAAAAAAAATGAAAAACATTTTTTTTATTTAGCAACAGTGTACCATTATTTATTAAAATTATATGTGATTCTTTTTTTAAGAATAAACAAACTTTGTTATTGTCTTAGAAGTAGAAAAGAGAACAATAATTGTCAATATGATTGATGGATCTATGGCATATATAGTTTGACAAATGACTGTCAATATTTATTGATGTACATGTAAGCTTATTTTTGTCAGATAAAAGAGTTGATTTTAGTTGTCATCAGACAAATTTTTAGGGATACTATACTTGTAAATCCCCCACCCCCCACTCTACTTAGATTTTGTCTTTTTTCATTCATTCATTCATTTCAGTTATATGTACCAGTAGTACAATTATATAAGAAATCCATGATGTATGAGTCAGCTATATTCATATATAATTACCTATATTATATCTATAGGTATCTAATAAATTACCACTAATGAAGGCAGATTTAATGCTAATTATGATCTACTGGCCTTAAGATAAACATACTTACATGTACTTTTACTATACATTTTATAATATTATATGGTCCTACATCAGACCCTGAAGCCTGATATGTCCTAAATATATTAATCTGTGACATTAATTTTAATTGTTAATTATATATCAGGCTTATAATAATAGGATTTTCCATGTGCAATGGTATTTCATTTTCTAAATGTATATACATATGTATTTGGGAAAGCTGTCCAGTGCTTTCAAGTTTTAAGAGTAAGCACAACTAAAATGTTGACTGCAGGTAGACATCAAAACCAAACCATTAGCTTCATGATCCTTAAATTAGAGGTGTGTTTGAAAACATGATCTTTATAGAAGTGTCATCTTTCGATCAATTTGGATTAAATTACACTGATAATACAATGTGCATATATATATTTTTTTTCTGTCAAAAATGTCTAGTAAATTGTAAATTAGGTTGGTTTACAAAAATTTGATGACAAGGGCAATGATTTAGCTTTTAGATATTTAAATAATTACAGAAAGATTCAAAAGGATGTTACAAGATTGAATTGGCCACTGTTGACACAGACAGACATGTAAGCACATGGGTAATAGTAATCTACTACTAGATAAAAAACAATAAATTCCCCTAATAGTAAGTGCAGGAGAACCGCACTACACGCAAAGCAAAAAACTACAAGATAAATCTGCAGACAAGACAGAATATAGACATTGCAAAAAATAAACAAATATCAAACAGCGTATAGTGTAACAGCAAAAACATTGTTGTAATACAGTTTGATTTGTACTGGTATACCGAAAAATTTGAGTGTAGGTAGCGTATGCAGCAAGACCCTTGGGGAAATAAGAAAGACATGTTTTCTGATTAAAACCTAAAAGGTTGCTATTAACAAGACTGGAGTCTAACAGACAGAATGTTTTAATGGCCCACCAACATTCTATACTACCCATTTTTGAATAAAACCATCGTTTATTTTTAGACGTGAAAATTTGGAAATTGATTTTTTTCGAGACGTTTGAATGGTTGCTACTAACTTGCTAGCCATTGATTACTATGGTGATGTATTTCTTAGATGTGGCATTTTCTTAGTTTATCAGGTTTTGGACTCAGTAATAGGAATCGTGTTAGATTTATTGTTGATGTTCAGTTTTGCGTTAAATTTAAAACGCTGTGTCACATTAAGTATTCAAAATGGTTGATAAGCATTTTTTCGTTTCCTTGATTGAAATTTATTTGAATGATAATAACCTTAGAGATATTTCCTTGACAGTCCTGCCTGATTCTAAATATTTAACCATTGATTTGTTGCTAAAAACATTATCTTATGTATGAGATACTTCAATCTACAAATTTGATCCTAGCAGCCATTATAGATATGATGAATGCTGTTCAACTTGGGGTACAGCATTGGGACCACAAATCAAGGACAGAAACACTTGGTGATAGTCTGTAATTAAAGTTTTAGGAACATAGTTATTTGTTTGAAATGATCAGTTTATTTTTTTTTACCTTCTGTATAAAGAAAAATTATGTTCCTAATGTATAGTGTAATGATAATAAAAAACATTTTCTTCCCAAACTGCAGTTGAAGCCTATACTAAGCATAGTTTATCTTTGAGTGAATACAATATTCATTTATACTCTGATTACCTATAGTTAGCATTCTGAAATATAACCTAGCTAGCTCTTTCCAGAGAACTCATGATTTTTCTCTTCTGGTTTCCAAATATTCCACTAACATACATGCACAGCCAATGTGATAAATATGTGATGGTAATGATTTTGAAATTAACACTTTATTATTATTCATGTCAGTTTCAGTCTGTGGGAGGTTACATGGATGCTGTGTAATCTATTTGTTGATTTTAATGAACATTAATTTTCTAACTAAACTACCTTCTAACTACCTTTTCTATATTTGTGAAGTTTGCGTTGCCTCTATTGATATACTGGTATGTCAATGTTTTAACTACATCTAAACTTATTTTTTCAGCCCATGTTGCAAATGAAGCTTACCTATCAGAGAATCTGGAAAGACTGGGCAACATCGCCAAAACACGGGAACAAGAATCAGAAATATGTAAGATTTTTATGTATATATATCCATTTCTAGGATGTACCTGTGAGATATTCTGATGATACTGCTTTTTTGTGGCATCTTCAAGTGTGAAAAATACTGCAAAAGAGCTGTTTGTCTTAACAACCAGTTTTGGACTTTTGAATGTGACTAACATATAGGGCAAATGCATATAATTTTGTCACAGTTTTTGTTATTTTTGATACTGTTTGTACATGTAGGTGTCTGTATGTCACATTTAGAATAATAGTATTTACACACTTCATAAATTAAGCATGACAAAATGGTAGCATTCTCATATTTTAACTAAAAGATTTTGGTGAATAAGATCTTCTACTATAAAAAAAACCCACTGATCAAAGGTTACTTTAAGTGCAATTTGAACTGAAGAAAGTAATAAGGAAAAATTAGAAAGTATCATATTGCATAAGGAAAATTTCAAGGTCACTGGAATAAATAGAAGCATTATATTCATATCCTGTGGCTTACAACATATTTTCATCTTATTGTTTTGCCAGATCTGACATTTAAATTATTTTTTTTTCATTTGATTGTTTGTAATGAATTAATCAGCATTACAGAAGCATTACATAAGAGCTAAAGATGCATTACTGTATGTACATGTAAGAGTTAAATATGCCTATTGCAGGTCAGATGTTATAGAAATTATTAATTAGACATTTATTCACATGAAAAGCCCTTAAACAACTCTCTAGACCATGGATTATTATGGAATGAAACATGATCGCCATTTAATAATTTAATTTAAAAATGGATAATCAAGACTTTCTTTACAAATGGTAGAAATGAAAACAGAGACTACGCTATTCTTAACAAAACCTTAAACAGTCATAAACGCTCATGTACACTAATTTGACAGAATTTTTCAATTTATTCCTTTTTACATCATCAATTTTTAAACTATTATATCGGGAACAGTCAGTGCTTTCTCTAAATCTTACGTAATGCATCTTTAACACGTGTTACTCGTTTGTGTTAAAAGATTTTTAAGTGGTCATTTCTGGTTCATTAAATTAAAGGTCTTAATTAATGTTGTCATTAAAATAGTATAATAACATATGATATAAAAGTGTTCTTTCACTGGATTTGATATTTGTTGTTTATTTCTTGCAATGTCTGTGTAGTTTGTCTGTGTAGTTTCCTGTAATAATATGTGGAGAGGAATACATGTACATCTTTTGGAGACATACTTTGACATTCCTTTCAGGTGCTGCTTTTGTGAAATTTTCTCATGTTACAAAAGAACTCTCTGCCATGATGAAAAACCTGGTAAGTGAAAATATGAATATGGTATATACATAATATAAGACCATAGCCATTCAAAAGTATAAAAAACATTGGAGAAAATATTAGTTAAATGGATCAATTCTATTTTATCTCTATATTAGTTTTTGTTGAATTGATGTAGCTATCATTTATTATCCAATTTAATAAGATAATGATAATTCTGATATTTTCGATGCAAGTCCTCCATGTCGTTATAGCTATTTATAAATGCTACACTTATTTTTCAGATGCAAAGTTTGAATAACATAGTACTCTATCCTTTGGATGCTTTTCTTAAAGGAGAATTAAAAGGTGTAAAAGGCGATTTAAAGAAACCATTTGATAAAGCATGGAAAGACTATGAAACAAAATTGTAAGTGACAATAAGATTTCTTCACCTTGCGCCAAAATCTTTTCTTGATTGGTTTCATTTTAAGTTTAAGTCCCAACTTCCTTACTGTACCCTATACTGTCTGATTCTTTAGAAAAGGAAAAGATATAGAAGTCAATTAGATCGGATGAAAAATCATTGTCCTCTGTACAAATGAATGGAAATATTTTTTTTTCAGGAAAACTTAAGCTGCATGTTATCTCATAATAATCTACATGAATTAAATCAGTAAAAACCAACCATATGTTAGTCTTATAAAATAATCTACATATAGTATGGATCAGTGATGGGATTTCAAAATTTTAGTTGTTGGACATTTTCTTCCCGAAAATAAAGGGACATAACTCTTTTCGTTATTTAAGCAGGCGTTTTCAAACCACAATTAAGAATCATGTGTCAACAAAATATTCATATTCATGCGTAATAAAAAAAAAATAGGTGCACCTCGTTATTTTTCATATTTAATTCCTGTACGGTATTCAAATTTATGTCAATAATATTCCTACAAAATTACATGACATTGTAACACCATAGAATGAAAGCGTGCCGACTACTGCCCATCCGTACCGGTTTCAAATACCCCCAAAATTACCGTATTTTTCAGGTCATAAATCGAGAAATTTTTCAGCAAAGTCTGGCATTTGTCTTATACTCGGTTTCGATTTATATACGGAAGGTAAAAAAATGACATCCCAAAATTTATTTGGCCGTAAACCGTAGTAAACATCGCTCTAATACAACAAGCAAGTAACACCAACTGCTATATAATCCCATTCGACTATAATAACCTGTTCAGACGCTTAGTTTTAAACCAGTTCATAATCGCTGGGGTTTTTAAGACAGCATCATGTTGCGTTCACATGTACTATAAGCCAAACCAGTTTAACTATTCTGACCTCTTAGATCAGAGGTTAGAGTTACCTACGCATGGGTAGCTTCATATTCTTTATTCGGTTCTCGCACGCTTTCGATAACATTGGCACTGTCTGACCCCGATATTTCAATTTTATTTCAATTGTTCACAAACTTGGCAGTGTTGCTTAATTAAAAATACAAAGGCAGTCTGAACATCAGTGACTACAACACGTCTAAAAAAAAGTATCTTTGTCTTAAATAATGATAATCTTCCATTTGCATGTACCCGTACTGTACATGGAATTGTCATTGTACTGATACTTTTAATTGTACTTCCAGTTCAAAAATAGAAAAGGAAAAGAAACAACAAGCGAAAGAGGCGGGTATGATTAGAACTGAGGTATCTGGAGCAGAAGTAAGTTTGGGCATTTTACAAAGTATCGTCAACAAAACATAACTGTCAAGGTGCGCTGAAATGAAAAATCATTTCATAGACTATGACCATGTAGAATGTATGCCAAATTATGATTGGTAAACTTTTCTGTGATCAATCAAATAGGGCTTTACAACAAATAAATTGGCGATGCAAAAGCACAACTAGAATACACATAATGCACGATTCTTGTCTTAGACATGAATATACCAAGATGAGGAATATACATGTAGAAAACATACAGGAAGTGAGCTGCTTAATTTGCCAGCATTCATCAAGAGCAGGGGTCACCAAACTCAGTTTGTTTGGCATGCCGTTGCATGCTAAAAAAGTAAAAACATGCTTTAGCTTCTTACACTTTTTATATAACACATATTGTTTTATTTATTTTGTGTATTTCATGTATTGATAAATAAATAGAATGACTATCCTTACTTTTTGTGCACATTCAGTGTATTGTATTGAACAAAATATTTATCCGGTCCACGCTCTGCATTCTTTCAGTTATATCTGGTCCACTATGAAAAGAGTTTATAGTGACCGCTGGTCAAGAGTAGAGATTGTGTGGGATTATTTACTGATGTTGTTAAACATAGACATACATTTCTTATTTGTTGATTCACTACTATGAAAACAAGAACGAATAAATCTTTATACTACTACATATATTTTTCAGATTGCTGACGAAATGGAAAAAGAAAGAAAAATGTTTCAGCTACAGATGTGCGAGGTATTTGAAATCTCTCTTGATTAAGCTCTTTATTCTGTCTTATTTATTTTAAACAAATTTGTTTGTATAAGATTATAGTACAACCCAAGATTATGATTACATCCACTGATTATCATTTCCATATTTTAGAGAATTTTTGACAGCTTTAATTCAGACAAAAGTTTACTAAAATTGTTTCTTTTAATATTTAATCAAAACAACAACTGTAAATAATCTACTGGCTTAGATTCAATCCAATTAAAAAAGATTTCCATCAAAAGATTTTAGTAAAGATTATAGATTTATATCGTCTGCAGTGAATGCCAAATGTTGACAAATTTTTAATTTATTCATCAAATCTTTGTCAATACTGATCGAAATTGAGTCCTGTCATAGTTCTGCCAGTTCCCCAAAAAAAGATGGGAAATTCTTGTGCTTGATTGATTGATATATTTCGAATTTTATCATTATATATAATTTTTGTTTTCAGTATTTAATTAAAGTGAATGAGATAAAAACAAAGAAAGGAGTAGATTTGCTACAGTATTTAGTGGAATATTATCAAGCTCAATCCAAGTAAGTGCAACATAAAATTAACTTTTTAACGTTAACTACCCCCTATTGTGTAATTAATTTGACGAAGTGACGAAGAACTATGTACTATGTTCTAAGAATAGGTTGGGGAAAATACCTCCAAGGCGTTATATTACGCCCTACACACAGTGAGTGGCAGTTGTCCAGGACGTTACATAACGACCTATGCACTTAACGGGTTAAAGATTTATTATTATTTCTTTTATCCTTAGAATTTTCAAACTGATCTAGCAATAAATCTCAGTAGGTTATGGTCACTAACATACCTTACATGTGCTTGTAAACTTGTCTGAAAGTGTCTTCAGTAGAGATTAATCATTAATTTTCTGCAATATAAACAGTGCGGGTGGGTGGGGGGAGACAGGGTTTTACTTAACCCACAAAGCACATATTAGTCTAATGTACATGTAAATCGAACATTTTACCTTACAACTCTATTGAACTAAAAAGCACATTTTACTGTACACTATACTGAACTTACGTACACGTAAATAAAACGTCAGATAAGTGTCGAAACGTCATGCTTTTAGAATAAAAACTAGTGATTGTATCCCATAAAAACTGTATTTACTGTACAACTTAACTAAACGTATGACTCAAAGTTACAAATACTGTGTACAACTTCGATAGTGCCTAACAGTTTGTCAGTTGCAAATAAAAGCATCATTTCCAGGCTGGGTTCAATAGAGCTTTATAATGAGTACAATGTCCCAAGAAATATGTGTGCAAGTCGTCAGTGTACTGAATGCGGATGGCCCATGACCATGTTAATTTTGCTATTTTATTCATGATTTGATTTGTCGTGGATCTTAAATTCCACATATCTACTTAGCTATGGCCTAGATAGCATGTAACTGCTTCTTTTTTTAAAGAACAAAAAATTAAAAGACTAATTCCATTACTTGATGATAAATGAAATCCTATGTATCTCGATCTATCACGCTAATAGAGAAATACAAGGAAGACTCGCACTGACCACACTTGGCCTCCCTCTCTATCTAGAGAGCCATACATGCATAGGATCGGGTGTAAACTAGCATCCATAGCGGGGACAGATCACCTCATACATCATACACCCGCCAAATGACTGGATGATCAGAATCCCTAAGATACGACTCACTGAACATATATGTGGAATCTTAACCCCCGGATTTCACACCATCAAGTCCAAAATTGAGTCCATGTTAATTGTTTAAGAGTTTGCATTCTAAATTCAAAGTTGTACTAACTGCATTATTATATGGGCCTATAATGATTTTAGGCTTTATGTGATAAATAATTGAAAATTTAAGGGACATTAATGATTTGATGTCTGTTCTCTGAATTTGAGGAAAAAAAAAATTGGTTGTTTTCAATGACCCCCCCCCCCCCCCACAAAAAAAAAAGAGATTGTGTGCATTAAAGGTTAGGTTTGGGGTGGGGGGAATTTTATCATTTCAGTACTTGGCTAGTCAGTCAACATTTTGTTTTATTTCATTTTGCTCTTGCATTAGGCCCTACTGTTTTGTTTTGGATGGAACCTTTTGACCTAAATCCTTCTACATTGTAATCACCTCAGATAGCCTAACTAGGCCCACATGTTGGCCTAACTAAATCCTTCTAATTGTCTCAGATAGCTAGGCCTAAATGTACATGTCCTAACAGTAACATTGAAAACATTGGTTTCATTACACAATATAAATATTTGAGAGTTGTGATAAGAGAAAGTACATAGCCAACATACCTTCTGTGATATTTAATTTTTGTACTCTCTCCAGGGTATGCTTGCACCTTCTTGAACACTTGATACTATTTCTCAATAGTTAACAAACTTTTTTGTACCTAAATTGTTTTTGTTTAGTCAAAAATAGCTAGCATCCTGTCATAACAAACCCTACCAGGCAAATGACATGACCAAGCTAGCCTACAACATGTAATGCTCATGTGCAAGAAAACTAGCAGACGTCAATTTCTTCAAGTTGTATATGGGAGATAACTCTTGTTGATTTCTGAATTTTTTAATTTTTTAAAAACCATTATGTTAACTTAACACTATTACTTCATATTGTATGCTTTTAATGAGTTAGAATAATTTAGGTATTCAATTCAAACTAATGCACATGTGCAAGAAGCCAACGAGACGTCAATTTCTTCCTGTTTAGACCTATATGGGAGATAACTCTTGTTTCTGGTTTATTTTTAAATATTTAAAACATAATTTTGTGCTATTGTTTCATAATGTATACATGAATTTGTGGTTTTAATTTATTATTTTTGGAATTACTTATTTATTCATATGGAAAATTTCTTTACCCCTTGGCAAAAGCAGGTCAGTATTAAATATCTAGAATATTTAAGCCCATAGGACATCATAAGAAAAGAGACATGTATCCTAATTATTATGACTTTGTATGTATATATACTATACTTATAAAGTAAGGGTTAGGGCATCACAAATATCGGAATGTAAGGCTGAAATAGACAAAAGTTGGTTTCTTATTCATTCTTCCATGCACGCCTTCGGAACTTTAGCATTATATTTGGCTTGAAATACATTTCATTTTGTTATAATTTCAGTTTCTTTCAAGATGGTCTGAAGACAATCACACATTTCCATAGTTTTATAGATGGACTGGTGCATCAGCTACATGCAATAAAAAATCGCCAAGACAAAGAACGTAAACAGCTCATGGAATTACGTGATTCTTTAAAAAGCAATATGACCATCAAAGAGGTAACTATGGTAACCTTATAAGGAATTTATTTAAAATGGGTTGGATCTCTTTGATTTGGGTAAAAATTAAAGGTATTGGGTTTGTTTGTTAATCGGCTGTTTTCTACATCTGAACAATTTAGTTCTGTAGATAGAACTAATATTGAGATACTTCCCCCCCCCCTCCCCCCATGATACAATAGATTTTTTGTTCAACAAACCAGTGTCCTGCTTAATTTTTGAAAAGAAACCAAAAATTTAAGAATATAGAGCTTGTCCAAATATTGATAGCGATAAATTATTGTCACATTGAAAGACCCCACCATGTGTAATTTACGTGTATGTTTCTTATCTGAATATTTAGATATACTTACTGTCCTGTGAAGCCTCACTTATAAAACTTTGTATGCTTACTTACATACACACTTGTGTTAATGAACACCTGCAAGGTACATACGCTTTATGTGTTACATTTCTTTGGATTTGTAATGGTGACAAGCTCTATAAGATTAAATTTCACATTAAGCAAAAGTCAGAAATTACATCCATCACCTAAATCACATTCTTGTAACCCCAGACCCAGACTCACCACTAGCTTCATCTGTATACATATCTGTATTGCTGCTGTAGAAGCAGCCAGTCACAGCTCTTTTAGACCGTGCTGTGAAATGGAAGTATCACATAAACAAATCAATCAGAAATTGCTCACTCTGATAGTGTGAACATAAAACCATGTTCTCTATAGCGGACAGTGTCGTATGGTACTTTTGTAATTAATTGTCATATTTGATGATTGACGTTATTACACTTGTGATACAGATATGTCAGCAGATATGTAGTGGGTACTGAAGTTTGTTAGCATCAGTGAGTCTGCTTCTAGGTTTGTGAGTTTCTAAATCAAAGAGGTCTTATCCTAGCACTGTGAAATAAGGTACGCATTTGGATGGTATTGATTTGTATTGTTTTACAATAATAGAATCTTGACAGTGCAACAATGCCTGGGTAGAGACTTGAATTGCAGAGTTATTTCCCTTTATAAACTTTGAGACGTGTGAAGCATTTTTATGCAATAAGAAAGAACATTTTCTTTTGGTGGGGGGGGGGGGAGGGACTTGGTGGTACAGCAGATAGTGTGCTTGATCTGTAACTGCATTGTTGCATGTATGAATTCCATCAAGGCCATCCAAATCTTGAGTCTAAAGTAGTTCAATCTTTTCATCTACTATTACATGTATATCGATATTAGGTATATGGTGTTTGCAGGATAGTACATATCGGTATTAGGTATATATATGGTGCTTGCAGGATAGTACATGGTGAAATTAAGTGTCTGAATTTATGTTTGAGTACTACTACTGTATTAACATATCATGCTTGGGATAAATTGTATTCTTGTGGTAGGGGACACATAATCTTCATAATGCATGGACAGTATGATTGAAATTTTTGATTGTAATAGATTAAATAAAATAATAAAACAAATAATTTTTTCTCAAAGCACGCACCTAATAGATTGTCAGGAGGCTGGGTATATATTTCTATATTATTCTTTTATGTATACTAAATGTCTTATAAGTCTTGTAATTTATATTTTTTGTTTCCAATTCTTTCTGGTTGATATTTTATGATGACGTACACCCTTTGGTTATCTGTATAGTGTAATTTACTTGAGAGAGATGTTTGATTATTTCTGATGTAGAATTTATTTTTATTTCCCTTGAAAGCTTGAAATTTGTTCGAATATGTGTGACATAAACTTCCAGGGGCGTGGTGACCCATGATTTTGCATGAGGAATAAGATTCCGTCCGGGTTAAAAAAAACCCCAACCAATATTTATGTGTGTGCAGGGGAGGGGGTGGGGGTGGGGGTGGCAGTCCCTCCCAGTGTGACATAAACTTCCAGGGGCGTGGTGACCCATGATTTTGCATGAGGAATAAGATTCCGTCCGGGTTAAAAAAAACCCAACCAATATTTATGTGTGTGCAGGGGAGGGGGTGGGGGTGGGGGTGGCAGTCCCTCCCAGTGCCACTGGGTAATATTGGGCTGTGTGGAACATGCCAGAGTAGATTTGTATCATATCTGAACCACGGTATATGTTTGGTACTGGTTGAGCATTATGATTATAATGTTGAAAACTGCATTGAAACCACCTGATTTTATGCCATTTGCGATGGGCACAAAAACTCAAAACCATGACGCAAAGCTTGTTATTGCGTCCCTCTCATTTGGCCTCTGTGAACTTCACCCACTCTTGTTTTAAAATTTAAGCAGATTGCCGCCTATGTCGATATTCTAATGCTAGTTAATTAAACGGGAGCCCCAGTGGCTAAGTGGGTTCCTTGTTCGATCCCTGCTTTGGCAGAGGGGCCTGGCAAGGGGCAACGTATAGTCGTTCCGACAGGATGAAGAACTGTGGTTCCGTGTGCACATTAGCATGCACGTTAAAGATCCCTTGGCAGTTGGAATTCAATATAAGAGTAGGCCGAGCAAAATTTACCTCATAGCACATTGTATGGCGTATGCCCATCTTCATTAGCCCAGTTGGAGCAAAACAGTAGGACATTAAACCCCATTTCAGTTCAGTTAATTAAATAGAGGACAGTTATGTGTCACCACATTTTCACACTTTTTTAAACCTTGGTGGTTATTAAGTTGAATATCATATTTGCAAAATTAAAGACTTAATTCCAAGCTTCATTGTCTTGTTGTTTTTCAGTTTATTATCTTTTACTTTATTTCTCCACTTAAGTTCGCTTTTTTTTAAGAATAACCTTTGAATGACTTTTATTGATTGAGTGAGTGTATGTACATGTGTATGATAATATTTGACACCTTTTCTCTAAAATGTGATTATAATCTCATAAATACACCTATTGTCATATATCTATTGTCTCTGCCCTATGAATTACAAAACAAAATTTTGTTTGTGTTCTTGTATTCTACAAATCTAATTCTGTAAAGATTCACTTCTTGCCCAATACAAAAGTTATCTCAATATCTAATACAGTAGAGTACAGTACTAATAGAAAATGTTACCTCTTAGAAAAATAGACACAAATCTGAAGAAAAAAAACAGTATTCATATCTAAAAGAATTCTTAGGATGTTGGGAATGCATATATTATAATACAATTTTTGAAAATGAAAGAAAAGGGTAACTTGATTTGTAGTTTAAAGCATGGTCGAAAATGGGTTTTGTAATGCATATAGTGGAGACAGTAGGCATGTTTTTAGTTAGTAGAAGGCCATTTTTATAGTGAAACTTGGTTAACCCATTAAGTCAGTGCCAGATATGTTTGATGCCATCCACAGGTATCTAATAGTAAGTGCAGTGGACTGCACTACATGCAAAACAAAAACGGCAAGACATACCTGCGGATAAGACAAACTATAGACATTGCGAAAATATGACAACTTAAGGAATCTATAAGATATTGGTTGTATTTTAACTGGAAGAGATGACTGAAATCTTTCAATGTTAAAATTAACGATTATTTGATACTGTACAATAACGTTGGTTTAACCATGTTTCACTTGTAATGCTAAGATTTTGATTTTAATGTACTGCACGGAAAGGTAAAAATAATACAATCATTTTCAGAATTTTTGAGTGAATTACTATGAGAATTTATCGATTTAAATCATGGATCGTATTATAATACAGGCTCTATGACTTGCTTCAAGATTGATTTCACATAGTTTAATTAATAATTTAAATGAAGAAATTTTAGTATTAATAGGATTAAATTTATATGATTAAAATCTGTACATGTAAAAAAAGAAAATCATGGATCGTATTATAGTACAGGCTCTATGACTTGCTTAAGAGATTGATTTCACATAGTTTAGTTAAAAATTTAAATGAAGAAATTTTAGTATTAATAGGATTTAATTTATATGATTAAAATCTGTACATGTTTAAAAAGAAAATAGATTTAGTTTTAGGCATTCACAAAAATTCTAATGCTAGCTTTTAATTAGATTAGATGATTGAAAATTGCATAGCTTATACACAAATTTAAATAGTTATCACAAATGTTGTGGCTACATGTAGCTTAAGATGTCATGCTAATAGAATTTGTACATCAGTTGTCAGACATAGATACATATAAATTTATTCTAAAATGCAGTATTCGAATTATTAGGACAGTATGTACAGAAACTTACCAGGGGCAATTCATTTATTATGTTTTGGGTGTGGGTGGGGCAGTACTTGAAACAAATATTGGGACTAAAAAATGCTCACCTAATTTTGAAAAGGTAGGGTCTCTCCCTCTTAAGAAAACTGTTCATACATAGGGGAGTGTTGGGTGGATCTGCTTTAATAATGTTAAATTTCTCCATTTTAACACTTGTGTGTAAATATTGATATTTTAGAACTTAGATATTTGACTTTCAGTAATTTATTTCTAAACTTGATGATATTCATGTTTTAATAGAGTAAATAAACTAGCTAAAATCATGTTAGTGCATACTGTCCTTAATAAATTTTGTAGACTGTAAAAACTTGCTTTTGATTTGGCTTTTTACAGGCTTTTTATTAGCCCCTTGCAGTTTTTTTAATGTTTGACACTGATTTCTTTCGCTTAACAAAATCCGTAATAGTTACTTCCTTTGTAGAAATTTGAAAGTACATTTAGTTAATTAATTTTGACTTTGTGTTTTTATATAGCCAGCAGCAAATGCAGCTCCATCTGGCTACAGTCTTCATCAATTACAAGGAAACAAAGCTCATGGAAGCGAGAAAAATGGTTATTTATTAAAGAAATCGGAAGGAAGAATGAGAAGAGTTTGGCAGAAAAGAAAATGTGGTATTAATAATGGAATAATGTCAATAAGTCATCAAGATGTAAGTCTCAATTATTCTTTTTGTTATAATGGCATTTGTTCTTCTATCAATAATCAGTGCTGCCCAGCAAAATATAGCGCAGACAGTACACAGTATGTCAAAGTTCATCAAACATCCTTCCATTAGAATTTCTATTAGGATTTCCCCCAAAAAGTAATCAAGCGAGTCATTGTGCACGGGTAAGAATTTTGTCAAGTAAAGAATCAAGGAATGAATTTGTTTCACTTAGAAAAAAAACACCCACATTTTGTGAAATTTTGTCTAAAGCTTCTCTTAAACATCATGAAAATTGGTCCAGAGACAAGTACTCCCTTGAAAATGTATTTGGCACAATCCTGAAATCACTTGTCTTTGATGTAGACCATAGTCAGGGATTCATGTATAAATACTTTTGTTTTATTTCAGGAAAATAAAGATCCTGTGAGATTGAATTTGTTAACTTGTCAAGTAAAGGTAAATACACTACAAATCTGGTGCAATGATTGTTTGACTGATTCAGGAGAACTACTATTAAATCTACCCAGTGGCCTCCATGTACAAGGCCTTTAATGTTTTAATGACTTTGTTCATTCAGTGTATAAAAATATTCATTGACCTGTATGTCATTATTTATAACAACGAATCAAACAGAGTTATCTTCCCTATTACATGAATTTGAGTGTAATTTCCAAGTTTCTGGGGAGAGGGAGAACATTAATGTTGGGGTACTAATTTAACTTCAGTTGAGAATCCTTGTCACTGTATGTTTTTTTGTAGAAATATACTGACCTTGTGAAATGAATATAATAAATACCGTACGGTACTAAATATAATAAAATATTTGTTATTGTAGTTGGTGCATGATGATCCTGGTAAAAAATGCTTTGATTTAGTTTCTTCTTCAAGTAAGTTCTCATTTTAAAGTTAGTCTAGGCCTACAAAGAAAATGAATAGCTATAGAATGTTGAAACAAAACCTTTTACTCTGTAAAACTAGAGCTTTAAAACCTTATAAAGGTGCATATAATTTTCCAAGTCTGCTATGAGTTTATCATGTGTAATGTAAGGGGCAGTCTCAGATATATTTCACCTTGCAGTGAAATAAACCATAGTAATTGTTATCCATAAATAGTGTGTTATTTGATTATGTTCCAATTACTAAATGCCATTTCAAGAATATATCCGACATCAATATGGTTAAATTAGGGTGAAAGAATGTTGCTAACATTCACTGTAGACCTGAGCAATTACCCGAAGCTCCGTGATACTTTTTCAAAGTAATGCAAATTTTCAGTTTCGATGTAGAGTTGGTTATATGCACTCATAATCGACCCCTGTAAAGTGCCTGGTTCAATTTTTCTACCCTGCTAAATTGTCCTATTTTAGCAATTTGATTTACATTAAAGGGGATACTGCTGATGCAGAAATATGTTGGCCTACTCACAAAAATGATAATAAAAATTAAATTTCAGATAATCGAACTTACCATTTACAAGGTGATGATTCAAAAGATATGGAAGAGTAAGTTTAAAGAAATCTTTTACAGATATATCAGATTTATACTTGCCATCAAATCTCTAATATTTATTAATTTGTGCAGTATATACTCTTCAAAAAAAAGTAGGGGATATTCAAAAACAATACAAAACTGCAAAAATGCACTGCTGTCTTTATTAGAGGAGACCAGTGTATATTAATAACAAGCCAGTTACCTACACATGAACATAACAGTTCATATGGGCGGCTTATCTGACGGCCCCATTTCACTCGAAAAGAGATACACTGTCAAAAGTGAAAATGGACGTTTTTGATTTTTGTCTTAATAATGAGTAATTGCTCCACCGATCCTCAGACATTCAGCAATTCGTCGTGGCATGCTCCTAATCAACCGTCCAATCACGATTTGGGGCAATCTGACCCACCCCTCTTGCAGTGCCACGGCCAATTCTTGCAGTGTTGTTGGTTGACGTTGATGAACACGTCTCCCAAAAAGATACGCTAAACAGTAAATCTTATGCAAGAACCGATAGGAAAGCAAACATGGATAGATAAACCAGCACACGGCAGTTTTCATCAACCCTTCCTTGAAGTGTCAAATTTTACGATGAACCCCTCCCATGTGTATGGCGCTATTGCGTGTTGCATGTGCATCTCAGTGGTTCTGTTGGAGCGATAAGTTCTTCATCTGTGAACATACTCTCAAAGTATGTCAAGTGTCCATGACTATTTATCATATCACAACCTGCATAGGTATTTGCATTTCAATATCCCCTACTCTTTTGGAAGAGTATATAATCTAAGCAATTGTATATCTGGATAGATATCCATTTCTCAAAACATAATTATCAAAACTTTCATTTTTCACCTAATTCAAAGAATTCTTGTTCTTACAATTCCTTATTTTGATTTAATTATAGGTGGATATCAGTATTAAATAATGCAAAAGAAGATGTATTATTAAAAGCGTTTCAAGATAGTGCTAATTCTACATCAATGAATCAGAGTGTTAGAGAACTTACTACCAGTATTTTAGATCGTGTTCGACGACTACCAGGAAATAAATTCTGCTGTGATTGCGGCTGTCCTGGTAAGTAGACCATTTTTCCAGCTACTTCTGGAATAAATTTGCCACTAAGAAAAGCATGATTGATTCAAACCATTGAATAGAATACGAAATGCCATGAACTGATTAGAAGTGGGTTGTGAATATATAATAAAAATCTGTATCACAAAAATTATAATGCTGGAACATATTCTTGCAGTGTTTTATGATTTCTAAACATAGATCTTCATTTAGTTCTGATTCAATATTTTGGTTGGACAACATTACATAACAATCTCATTAACAGTTTCTGTTTAATTTAACATTTAACTTGAACCATTGCTCTAGAAATACACTTATTCACAGATTAGATAAGCAATCACTTCAATTATTTGTGTAAATATATATAACATAAAAAATGAAAAACAAAATATTCATTGCATCAGTGTTTCTCCAATTGGTAGATCTTTTAATTTGTAAAAATAATCTGTTTTTCTGATAATCTAATATTTTCCAGATCCTGAATGGCTGTCGACTAATTTAGGTGTTATAATATGTTTGGAGTGTTGTGGTATTCACCGAGAATTAGGCGTTCACATCTCTCGGACACAAAGTATTGTTATAGATGACTTATGTACATCCCAGTTATTGGTATGATTAATCTTGACTGTATTGTTGTATAACTTTAGTCTCTTGATAATGTTTAGATGTGTTAAAAGTGAAAACATTTTGGATTTATAATGAAAATTAAAGATTACTGGAATTACATGTTAATTTTGAATTCATTCTCTAATTCTTATTAGAATTAGCAGTTATATCACTTTTGAAGTTTATTTTGCTGTTAATTTATGATGTGTTATTTATTTTTCCACAGTTATCACGTGTTGTTGGAAACACTTCATTTAATGACATCATGGAAGCTACATTAGACCCTTCCTTAAAACCTAAATCATCTAGTCCTATGTAAGTAAAATCAAAATCTTTAATATATCCAGTTCCATAGATAAAATTGAACTTAAAAGTTTTCTAATCTCGTTCCAAAACCAAAATTTAACCTGTTGAGTTAAGAAAAAACTGTTGCTCTTAAAAACTTGAGAATCCCTCTGTGATTTATATTTCATTACCCTGGCCTTAGAAAAGAGAATATACTAAGATTTTATAACATTCCTTGAGAAGTTATTTCTAAGATTTTACAACAGGATTATTTTTACCATGCACTATCCTACTAGACTGGACTACAATAATAACATAATCTTGTAATACCATCTTGCTAACTTTAGTGACCTTTCTCTCCCTTATGGTCAATAAATTCAAAAATTCAGTAAATTGCATAACTTGTTTTTTTCTGTGTTTTTGTCATCTATGATTTTGTTTTAATTATTTCAGGGAAGAAAAACGAGATTTTATTCGTTCAAAATATGAACAACATCGGTTTGCTATAATAACTTGTACAGATAAAGAAGAGTTAAAACAAGATCTTAAACAGGCTATTTTATCTAAAGATATATTTGCTCTTTTGCAAGTTTATGCAGAAGGCTTGGATCTAATGACAACATTACCAGAATCAGTAAGTATTCTTTTTTTAAATTCATTCTTTGAATTCATTTGTTATGGAGTAATTATCAACAGTTCCAAGGGGGCAGGTGGTGTGTACGTAAAACGTAGTAGGATCGCCTGCATATCCGTGGTCTTCCCACTGCTAAAGAACTCTACCCGCTTGTGAATTATTGAAATAAAATTGTATCATGTTAGTCCCAAAATGACCTAATTTGTGTTAGTGTATGTTAATTTCCATTTCTCTTTCTCTTTTGCTATTTTAAGTTAGTATGGCCTCAGGCAAAATAAGAGCACAAATCTTTGCCAATATTTAAATGTGGTATATTCTTTTTTTTCCAAGGATAATGAAACAGCGTTACATCTGGCCATTAAAGAAGAAGATGGCACATCTTTACCATTAGTAGATTTTATAGTACAAAATAGTGCAATGTAAGTTTTACTAATTCATTTCTGTTATATTTACCATACATAACTGTGTAGGCAAAACTGACTGAAATGTGTTACAGATTTTTTTATTTAATCAAACAGAATAAGTAGCACGTAGAATGGGAGAATCCTGTAGACTGTCGCCCTAGTCTTGATCACTCCAGTCCAAATGTGTCTTCTTCAGCAACAATGAATATTAGTTATAATTAGTAATCCATTTTGTATACAGTATACAGTGGCAAACGTCCTACTGATATATTCCCAAGATCTTAAAATTGATTGACGCATGCAAAATTCATTGATATCTGGTATATCGAGATGATTACATGAACTGTTTATACCATATAATATACACAACAGACATTATTTTGTCCAGATATATATTTGTTGCAGTTAAAGCAGAGACAATTTTGGTCAGCAAGGCCACTCAATCCATTGCTGCAGACTGTAACGCAAGCTTAAGATAATGTGAACTCCCATTTATGAAAATAGACTGCCCCTACTCAAAGAGCTGTTCAAGGTCTTTTGTCACGTATGTTTGCTTTTACAGAGGTTCATTAGATAAGAAGACAACTGACGGTAATACTGCATTACATATGTGTGTTGAATTAAACCAAACAGAATGTATGAAATTATTGTTACGTACACGGCCTGATCTAGCCAACATTGAAAATAAACATGGGAAAACACCCCTTAATGTAGCTCAAGATATGAATCATCAACGCTGTATAGAACTGGTAACAATTTCTTTTTTTTCATTGTATTTTTGTTTAAATTTGATTCTGCCTATTTTGGATTTTGATGTCTTACACCAAAAAAGCTAATATTAGTATATTAAAACTGTTATCAGCATGACTCCTAACAAATGTTATAGTAAAACTCTACACCTTTGTAATTTATCTAACCTAGTGCTTCTATACAAGGCTTAATTTCGTTTCTCCAATCAAAGCACACAGGAAATACTTTGAGAGGTCGTTTTTGTTACAAATTCACAGGTTATATTATGAGCCTTGAAGAATTATTCATGATGTGAGATGTTCAAGTAGGAAAAATGTTGAATAAAGCATTCCATTTATAGTCACAGTAAATTACTTTTATAATCGTAAAAGCAAAAAAATATTCAGTTACTGACAGAAGGTATTATTTAGGATTTATGGAACTCGATTTACGAATGTTAGATCAGAAGAGTTTCCATAAATGGAAAAAAATACATATTTTTTGCAGTACATTCATTTTGGTAAACTTGACAAATAATGTTTTTTTCTTCTTTAGTTGAAGAGTGCTGCTACAGGAAAGAAAGATTTGTATGCCCATGTCAATATAGATTGGGATCTTATATCGGTTAGTAATATACTTATATATTCCTGTATATAAGGTTGAATAATATTGTAAAAGCTTGAATGTTTTTCATTTCTGGATTAAAAAGAATCACTGGATTTCAGATTCCTGGCTTCCACTTCTCGGGGATAGATTTTTATACATGTCAGTCAAAGCAATAGTAGTAAATTGTGCGCCCTAAAGATTCTGATTATAAGCAGTTGGTAAAATAAACATTGTTCTATTTTCCAGGATGAGAGAATGTATGATTTTGGTGAATTCAGTGATGATGAACTTGATGTAAGTATATTGGAGGATTTAGAAAAAAAAAATCCCAAGATTTCATTAACTTCAGTTTTCACCATTATTCACCCAATTACTTTTAAGATGGTTCAAATGTGACATCCGCATAGTTCTTGTTAGGATTTGAATCGTGTTGATAAATATTATCCAGTCAGCCGTATGGACATTCCGCTGATGATATGGCAGTATACACCTAAGCCAGCTTCATTTACGCTTATAGTCAACTTCTTTTGCATCTTTGTTTCAGGGCACACCTGATAAATCTAAACCCAGGTCACGACCTCCAAGTCTCATCATGATTCCAGAGATGACGAGTTTGAGTGGTAAGGAAGGAAATTATGCGATGCGAGATAGAACAGATTCTGAAAGTAGCAGCAGACACCCTCCTGTACCACCACCTGCACAAAACAAGCCAAAAAGTAAGTTCTGCAATGTTCTTATATGGGTGTAATGGTGTATTTCATGTCAAAAATCAATAATAACCTTTAGAAATCTATAATGATGTTCCAGGGGGATAAGGGAGGGATACACCGGTCTGTAACCACATAACGAAATATTTTGAAAAATGAAAATTCGTAATTTTAGAAGTTTTAACTATATTGATATGTATAGAAGATTTTATTATAACTCTTTTAAGTGTCAACATGTGAGCAGTCATGAATATGATATATTATTTGTTCTCAATAGTTCCTGCTTTATGTATATTATTTAAAAAATAAGTTGGGGGTTTTATAACGGAACTTGAAGAAGCATTCATGACATGATTTGATAATGAAATAGTAGGAAAAACGGAGAATAAAGTATTCTATTCAAGGTCACATTAAATTATGATTATAATATTGAAAAGCAACAAAATATTCAGTTACTGACAAAAGGTATTATTTAGGATTTATAGAACTTGATCAACAAATTTTGGATCTCAACAGTTTCCATAAATGATCATACAAATTCCCCCAAAGTATGTTCAATACAAGTTTTGTTATTGAGATGTGGTTTCCTTGTAGAATATATAACCATTCCTAGTCAACATCGCGCCAGTCTTAATAATAATAAATACAAATCAGGTGAGTGGGACTGACCCCATATTGCATGATAGCCCAGATCAACATGACTCTCTATAGCTATGAATGTGGAAGGCATGACACCACTATATCATTTGCCTCGATTTCTCTCACGGCTGATCAATTCGAAACTCAGAAATTATTTGTAGAAATGAAATATAATTGCTTTAATAGACACCTAAATCTGTTGCTATTTTCAAGTTTTTATTTCCCACGTCATCTTCATGGTTATAATTATTATATTGTCTTTGTGAGAATCCTGATTAAATCATCATATTGATTATGATTAAATCATCATACTGATCACAGTCAAGACTCCCTATTTATCATTCAATCATAATACTATCATAAATTAATCAGACTGGTCATCCTCATGCATAATTAAATCATCACTTTGGTCATAACATAACATCTTGATCATAATTAAATCTTAATCATAATTAAATCAGAACCTTGATCATTATTAAATCAAAATCTTGATCATAACTAAATCAGCATATTGAGGGACATTAAATAATAAATCATGATCATCATTTAAATATCTTTTATAATCATTTCTTATTTCTTATATTTCTTATTCAATTTTCAAATGCATCATCACCATATCGCTTTCATTTGTAGCTTGTCATTTCATCACCATTCTTGTTTATGTATCATTCTCACCTTTATGATTTGCTTCATATTCTTTCATATTATCATTGCTCCATCTCTTGATGCCATTTTTATATAATTCAAAGTTTTGTCTTATGAGAATTTGGCATATTCCTAAAAATACATTTAAGATACCATGCATTGTGAATTGCATGATACCACATATCTGGCAATATATATCCAAGGAAATTTTAATTGTTATATATAAGATATTCATTTATCACAAATATTGCATTTTTCAACAATAAAATTTTCATGAATTTGTAACTAAATTCATTATTGTTTTTTCCTTCATCAGAAAACCATTCACAGCATGGTAAGTCAGTGTAGACAATCATTTGTGTTTGTAATTGAAAGGTCCAGTGTGATGTAAATTATTGTTTTCTTTTATAGTTTTTGTAAGTAATTAAGTGCTAGATTGTCTTAGTAGATCTTCGATTAGAATTGAAACTGTCTGTAATTGTTTTTTTTAATGTGAAGTTAGCAAACACTATGTAAATTGAACAATTTATTTATTTATTTAATTTGTCAATTTGAAACGTGGAAATTTCATGATATGACTTCATCAGATAGACTTGTTTCATTTCATATTTAATAAATACCAAAACCTTTTCCTTAATTAGTACTCAAGTATTTCTATATAGACAAGAAAAGTAATGTACAGTACACCAAAAATTAATTCATAATAACATTGCAAATCTAAAGCTTTTACATGTAGTAATGAATTACATAACACAATTCTATGGTTAAAACCTACTAGATTTATTCAACACAACAATTTGATGATGATTTAATGTCTTAATAAAGAAATCTGATAGTAATTATCTATAGTATTGTGTTTTGCAACTTCTTTCTCATGAACTAAACACCACTTAAAGATTATGTGTGAAACTTCACCAGAATAATATGGACTGATCAAAAATTATTATTTATTGCTCATATTAAATTTGCGTAATTTAATAAAACTAATTTGCACTAGCTAGATCACCATTTTATTTTAAGTGTATATTTAAAAACTCAACAAATTAATATTGAATATAGATCAAGCACACTTCCTGTAACATTTTATTGTATATTACACAGCTAGGCTTACATATTTTATAGTATATATTATATTTTATTGTCTGATTTTATTTGTGCAAATTCAAGTGACCTATTCTCCCAGCTTTCTTATGCAGTATGTGTACATGTTTGACCCCGTGCTTACTGCCAGCATGAATGTTTCTGCTTATTCCACCTTTTTCCATTATTTATATTTTGCAATTTTCATAGTTTAAAATTTTCATGATGTGAAATAGACATTTTTATGACTATTAGTACTGATCCATGAAACTTGGACAAATTAATTATGCTATATCAGTAGTCATCTTCAACTGAAAATGCCTAAAAATACTACATACATAATTAAATTGCCCAGAAACTAAGATGATCTTATCACATTTCTCCTTACCTGTAATCCATATTTTTGCTAAAGAATTGTCAAGCTGCATTAATGGTACAATGCCTAAACATACTGGCACATACTGTGTGCACAGGGGATACAAGTATATAGGGACCCATGGAAGGACATGGATATTACAGAAGAGAGGAAACTGAGTGTAGGGGGGGGGGGGGTGGAAGGGAAAACTAATGCCACTGTCAATACACTTGTGTGGTATTCACAAAAATCCTGTCAAAACTTATATTGGTTGAGATTGTCTAATAGTTTAACAGATAAATTGTGGTATATATACTGCAATAATGCAATAATCTAGTGAAAAATTTGAAATTAATGTTGGAATTAATCATTTTAAGAATGAAAAGATCAAAATGAAAATCATTTATGCAACTCAGGTTGATGCACTTGTTAACTGTATGTTAATTGATAAAAAAATGTGCTAGCAGATGATGTCAGTCAGTAGATTTAATATTCTAAATTTTTGATATTAAAATTGTATCTTTTCAGTACCAGGTCTCAATGCACCAAATTCAACATCAAATCAAAACCTAGCAAATGGCAATAATGGTTCAGGTATTACACAATCATCAGATGTCACAGAAGTCCCAGGTCGCCCAAATAAAAGTCTTCCTCCTTTACCACCCCGCGGTAAAAAGCCCCCACCACCTCCACCACCAGCTAATTCAAATGCTGGAGGTCACACCCGGAACAGGTCTGAACCTAATGCCTCCTTCCTCATCCACAAGCGAACCTGCTCTGATCCGCCTCCCAGACCAGCGCCACCAGATTTTAGAAATACCATAAATATTCCTGCAGGTATTTCGGGCTTTTGCTTTTATTGTTGTTTCCTTTCATTTGGGAGTATATTGTCTTCATCTCCGTCCCTTCGCCATCCACAAATTATTCTACATGTTGGGCTAGTCATGAGAAGGAAACTTATCACATTTAGATGTCAGTTTAAATGTCACGTAGATTGTTTCTACAAACCAATCAAAATACAGATTACATACCAGTCTTAGTATCATTGTTTATGTTCATCACAATACAGCAGCTTGTACATTTGATCATGAGAAACTTTGCAAGAAATTCAATATCAAAGAAGTGATATGCACACAAAAAGATGTCCTAAAGTATTTTGACAAAGTTTACAACAATGAGTCAGTGATCTTAGTGTCAACAAAATGCGAGTTACTTCCCTCCCTTGTGAATGGACTCAGGGTTTAGTGAAGTAGAATGGAACGATACCACTGGGAAAACCGAGGATGGTCAGTTCTCTGCAAAGTAGTTGTCACAAAAATACATGGAAATGTTATATAGGTCAAAGCTTTTGAGTCTTCTTTTTCAAATTTGTTGGCTAGTCAGAAGAAGTCATTCATTCCCTATTCACAGTCATGGATCAACCACAAGTTTTTGAGTTATTTGATTCAAAACTTGTTGGCATGCCATAATTTTTATACGCCCACATTGAAATGTCATCGTATATTGTCCTCGCCCCCGTCCGTCCGTCGATTCTGTGTCCACAATAATATCCGATTGACTTTAAATTTACACACAGTGTTTAAGGTCATGAGACGAAGAATCCTATTGATTTTCAGTGATTTTCCGATAAATACTGCCAGAGTTATGGCCCTTGATCACTTCAAAAAATCTTGTGGACGCTCTAGGGGTCACAGTTAATATTTGATTGACTTTAAATTTATACACAGTGTTTAAGGTCATGAGACGAAGTAGCCTATTGATTTTCAGCAAATCCGATAATTACTGCCAGAGTTATGGCCCTTAATCACTTTGAAAAATTCTGTGGACACTCTAAGATGCCAAAGTTAATATCCGATTGACTTTAAATTTATACACAGTGTTCAAGGTCATGAGATAAAGAAGCCTATTGATTTTCAGCGATTTCCGATAATTACTGCCAGAGTTATGGCCCTTGATCACTTCAAAAAATCTTGTGGACGCTCCAGAGGCCAAAGTTAACATCCGATTGACTTTAAATTTATACACAGTGTTTAAGGTCATGAGACGAAAAAGCCTATTGATTTTCAGCGATTTTCGATAATTACTGCCAGAGTTATGGCCCTTGATCACTTCAAAAAATCTTGTGGACGCTCCAGAGGCCAAAGTTAACATCCAATTGACTTTAAATTTATACACAGTGTTTAAGGTCATGAGACGAAAAAGCCTATTGATTTTCAGTGATTTTCGATAATTACTGCCAGAGTTATGGCCCTTGATCATTTCAAAAAATATTGTGGATGCTCTCGAGGCCAAAGTTAATATCCGATTGACTTTAAATTTATACACAGTGTTTAAGGTCATGAGACAAACAAGTCTATTCATTTTCAGCCATTTTTGATAATTACTGGCCCTTGATCAATTCAAAAAATCTTGTAAATGCTCTAGATTCTAAAGTTATCATCTGATTGACTTCACATTGATACACATAGTTTAATGTCTTGAGACAAACAAGTATATTGATTTTCAATGAATTATTATGATATGAACATGGGGCAGAACTTTATACAAATTCTAATGGTTTTCTGATAATTACTTAATGAGTTGTTACTATTAATCAGATATCAATGTATTATAAATATTTCATTACCGAAAAAAGTAAAAATATGCGACAACTCTTGTTGACTGACCAGACGATTATCTGCTGTGGGCGTATGTTTCGTTGCCTGGCAACCTATCTTTTGCAGAGTTATACTTAATTGAAAGTTGAAATATAAGCTATAGTTAAATTTGGTGCATTTTGAGAAATTTACTCTGTAATTGGCAAAAGCTTGCTTGTATTTAGATGGATTTCTGGAAGATAAAAAAAATTATACATAAAAATTCTGTCCTTAAATAACCTTGCTCTAGAATTTTTCATAAATAGGCCTACCTTTGGAACAATATTTTTTCCATATAACTGAAATTTTAAAATGACCAATTGCTTTTAACAATTTTGATATTATGTTTGTAACAATCAGCAACACTCTCTTACAAACATGCCTATAATACTTGTGTCTTTTTTCTGAGTCTACATTTCCAATTCTGTTTGAGCTGCATTTATATTATTGTTTGTTACTTTTATTTTACTGAAAAATTAATTATTTTTAGGAGGGGTTGCTGTCTTACCTAAAGTAGGTGATAGAGGGTAAGTAAGGCCTATGATTATGGTTTTTATTTAGTAAATGCTCTTCAAGCCAATTAAAATTTATTTTAACTGCGTGAAAGATTTTGAATCCGTAAATGGCCTTTGAACCAGTGATGGGATTACAAAAATTTTCTTGTCAGACATTTTTACCGAAAATAAAGGGACATAACTCTTATCATTATTTAAGATGGCAGTTTTTAGACCACACACAAAAATCATGTGTAAACAAAATATTCAAATTCGTCTGTAATATAAAAATAGGTGCACCTCGTTATTTTTCATATTTCATATTTATACAAATTTATGTCGGTAATATTCCTACAAAATTCGTAATACAATAGAATGAAAGCGTGCCGACTACTGCCGATCTGTACTGTTTCAAATTCCTCCAAAATTACTGTATTTTCGGGTCATAAGTCGCTACATTTTTCAGCAGAAGTCCGGCATTCGTCTTATACTCCGTTACGTCAAAGTTTGAACTATAATGAACTGCTTATAAATTATTGTGTGATATATTCCTTTAGTTGTATTATTGGAATGTTGACACAGCTATTTTAATTGATTTTTAATTTCAGTGAAAAACCACCTCCTAATCCAAGACTTTCTAGAGGGACTTCTTTAGTTGAAGGTAAATTTTTTATCCAGTTTTCTAATGTCTGAAATGATGGATATTATGTTGATGGCAATAAGCATTAAGGTGAATTATAGCTGAATTCAAGATGAAAAATGTAATGATATTCCCCAACTGTCTAATGAAGATAGACATACATGTGCCATACAGTGTGCTATGAGGGAAATTTTGACCGAACGGCAGTGCCTACTCTTATTCAAATGCCAACTGCCAAAGGTTCCTTCACCTACAGTCGTGCATGTAAAAGTATACACAGGACCTTCGTTAAACCCAATTTCATTTCCTTTCCAATCTATTAAAAATAATTACTAGTTGATTTAAATTTGACAGATTACTTAAAGTAGCTTAATCTCTAACTGAATATCATCCAAAGTCTTCGGCATTGAATACACAAATTATTTGTCAATTTAAATCAACATTGATGTTTTAATCTTACCGGGAAAAGATGGGTTTCTGATATCCAATATTTCAGACAAAATAAACATTTTACCATTGGTACACAAATCGTGTACCATAATGCATTTCAGCACCATTTGTAACAAGGGACTTGAAGAATGAGGCTAGACATATTCCACAAGTCATGTCAAACAGTGACCTCATATCCTTATCTGGAGGGCATGCCCAATAAATATTATCGGTGTAGACTGGAATAACAAGACACTAGAGATTGTCATTTGATTGAGACTTCTGGCATATTTCACCGAACATAGCTGGTTCGAAATTAGAGTAAAAACAGAAACGATTGAATGTAAATCAGTTTATATACATTGCGACCCATTTGTGTCAATTTCTAGGTATCAAATATTAGCGATTTAGCTCCTTTAAATTAACATATGAGACCAGTTATTAAACTTAAATTTAGATATTTTTTAATTATATTTTAAGATGATTTAAAGAGTTCAAGAAGTAAATCTATTGACCGAATTGATTCCAATGAGATGGTGGCGCCACCTGTACCAGTACCTAGGTCCAAGGTAGATAACTTCTCTATTTTTTCATTCAATAGCCTTTATAATGAGCAAAAAAATAGATTTCCTTGATATTTCAATGAGTTAATAACCTAATTAGATATGTTTCTTTGGTTTCCTACCCTACTGCTAAAACGTCCTACAATAAAAGAAATGAATTTCCATTTGTTAGTCCCAAACTGATCAGGTTAACGTTGAGCACCCAGAAGTTTTATATAATCATATTGTAATATTTACTTCTTGAAAATTGCATTATTGTAGGCTAAAAAAGCACCACCAATAGGTAAACGGTGTCGGGCATTATATGACTGTGAGGCTGATAATGAAGATGAGTTATCGTTTAAAGAAGGGGAGGTAATTGTCATTTTACGAGAAGAAGAAGAGGAGTGGTGGGTAAGTGATTAATTTTGATCATAGAGATGTCAAGTTATCATAGTTGAATAGGGACACTTTGAATCCAAACGATGTTTTGAATTTCGGGCTAAATAGTCTTATTTATATCCTAAAGAAGAAAAAACCTAACCAGGAATCGGATCTTTTGAAATATAAAAGCTAAAATAAGCCAATATAAAAAAAATATTGGATAGATTATGTGAGTTTCACCTTATACTATGGATTCTTATTTTGTCAACATAAAGAAAATGAAACTTGAATGGCACATTATTTGTATTTATAACCTTATTTGTTTTCAGGAAGGTGAGATTGAAAAAGATCCGTCTCGGAGAGGTTTATTCCCAGTTAGTTTTATTAAGCTGTGTCCAGGTTGACATTAAAGCCATTTTAGTTCTATAGCAAATTATTTAACTTTTAGAATGATTAACATTGATATGATCATATAGTTTCATTAAAACATCCAACAATAGTAAATCAACATGCAGTAAAGAAATTAAATATGTACTGGTATGATGCCTCAGTTACTATGACAACTGTAAAGAATACTATCCTGAACTTCCTGTATATCATCCAGTAGAAGTCACAGTCATTATTTGACAACACTTAGTCTGTCAGGCCAAATTTAAGAAATGAGCAATAGGGCTGGATTATTGAGATTAATGTTCATATAGTAATATTCCTTATTTAAAGGGATATCGATATAGTCAAATTATTTCATAAATAAATTATTTGATAAAGAAATGGTAACTTAACGTAAATAAAATGGATCCGAGTCTCTTTTACATTTGTAGCAATATTGTACTTACATTTAGATATATTACAGTGTACATAGAAACATACAATATTGTATTAACATTAAGATAGAATACAGTGTACAGACAATATTGCATTGTAGGTGAGATTACAATACTGCTGTTAGATGTTTTACATTATTATCATCATTCCTTAAATTGATATGCAATATGATATGTAAATCTGTTTACAATCCCAGCATTCATATCATTATGATCATTGTAATTCATGTTAAAGCTAAATGTTAATTTCAAAATTGTGGTTTCATATCTTTACATATTTTGATGGAGTCAAGTTATTAAAATCATTAACCTTACTTAAATGACACAATCTAATTTGTAATTAGACTTCGAGTCCATTTTGAATTTGCATAACTCTCACATTTATTAATAAGGTGTCCCAATATTAGTAGGCCTAGTGTGTAACACACAGCCAAACATTGCTTTGTAAGTTTTAATCACAAATTTAATATTTAAATAGCCAATATTCTTAGAATTACAAATATATATTTTGTATAAAAAAAAGTATTTGCAGAAACATCATTTGTGTATCCTAATTAACTATTTTGCTAGATTACAACTACATGATAATTTATTACTTATACTTTAATATTATAAATTTTGGACGTTCTTTATATTAATGTATTATTAGATATTATGAAGATTATTTGTTGATCAGTTATGCATTCAGATTATGAACCAATAATTAAAATTAGTTGATCAGCTAATTGTGCATTTCTTGATATTACATTTGTACTTCATCACTTAGACTTGGCATATGTCCCAAGACATTTCAGACATTGATTGATGAAGTATTTATTTATTGACAAGGTTACATAAATATAAATCATTTTGTCCAAAGTTTTCCTGAAGACTATTATTTCGTTTATAAGAAAAGTCTTTATGAAGTGTGTAAATCATGAACATTTATGAGAAAATTCTTATGAAGATGTGTAATCATGAATATTTATGCATCTTTTTAAGTATGTATGACTTTTAAATATTAGGATGCACATGAGATTTCTCAAAGATGGTTTAAAGATTAGCTCTTCATAGTATATCAGTTACTAAGTATTAGGTTACTTATCTTTTTAAGCAATTGTTAAGAATTGTTTTATTTTGTTTGTGGATCGAGTGTAACAACTGTGATAGAGCATAGAAAATTTATATATGGATAGCTTACTTAATTAGTAAAAAACAAAGTAATATGTCGTAAAATGTAAGTACAGTGCTGTTAAAGGCAGAGAATAGCTGTATCTGTAGAATTAAAAAATGCACAATAACCATGAAAGTTGGGAATTGATTCTGTGTGCAACATTTGCCAAAGTTCTGCCTGCAATTCATTTGTGAATTGAGTTTAGCTGGAAATAAATACTTTGTAAGCTACCCATATATTAAGTTCTATAGATATGTGTTCAGTGTAATCATGTAATTATAGAGTAGGTTTATAAACTACAGGTCTCGTATTTAGGTGAAAAATACTGGATATTTAATATTAAATTCCAGGTGTAATCTTGATTGAACAGATATTTATGAATAGAGGAGCTGTAAATTATGATTATAATGTGTAATTTAAATATAACATATTCTATTAATGGTGTATTATCATTAAGAAAATAAATGTAAAACATTTTATGATAACATATTCAAAATAATGTAAGACTCTTTGAGGAAGGGGCTTACAGAAGCATTTCTCTAATTCCTTGAAAATCATAAGAAAATTTCTATGCTGTTTAAATTGAAACCTGTATATCTAAGTTATGAATTACCGGTAATCATTTTTTGAAATGGCTTTATATAGCCACAATTAAGATGGAATGGTATGCATTTGCATATTATTAAAGATACATTAGTCAAGAGCTAAATCTGTTATATAAATTATTAGACCATTAACATTAGAATGGTTCGACAAGTTAATGATTTAATTTAAAAATGGAGAAGCGAGGCTAAGTCTAGAATATACCAGTACCATGGTTACGATAATAAATAATCAATGCACACATCTTGTCAAAATTACAAACAGTGATAACTTGGCTCAGAATAAAGTAATTTGAATTAAATTTTCAATATATTCATTTTGCATTATCTATTTTTGAACTATAATAGCAAGAACGGACAGCTCCAAATCTTACATAATGTATCTTTAAGGGAACAGTTAGAAATTTATTTTGAATTTTAACATTGAAATTATTATTTTCTCAGTTAAAAGAAATAAGTGTTAATGGAAAACTTCATTGCACTTCCATTTGTTGAATCCCTTTATTATTAATTTTAAAAGGAGACATGCAACATATTTTATAGCAAAGAATTCCTTTAAATATTTGGAATATATATAATGCAGTTATTTGAAACAAGACATTCTCACTATAGTTATAATTTTTTTGTTATATATTTTTTTCTTTTCTAGTTTTCTAATATATTGTACATAGTTTTTCCTTTTTATTTTAATTGGTGCTATATTTTTTTCTCTCATATTTTCTTTTTTTAAATAGTTTTTGTGCATAAAGTTTAATAATCAGTAAGCTAAAATGGCTGTTTTTGCCCTTCTGTTTAAAGGAGAGTGTAATTAATGTACTGAATGCAGACAGACAAGATTTCATACAGCTAAAGTTGAGAATATACAATGTATATTTGGTACCTTGAGATTTGATTGTTACTTTATGAAAATAACCCAGACGAGAATTAACTTTTGAACTTACTGGTAATTAAAGTGATATTATTAAAAATAACAATACACTCCCCGAACTATCAAAAATCCAAACAAAAATAGATTCTTGTTAAACTCCTTCAAAGCCACTAAACAATTTGTATGAATTGTAAATCACAGTCATGGTTTGGCAAATTGACATAATGGTTTGCATGCAATATAAGTTATATTTGCTAAAGGTAGCTCGATAGTCAATATTTTTCATCGACCTGCAAAATTGGTGATATTGGTTACAACAATTTCAATTAATTATAATCTGTCTCATATTAGAAGCTAGTTTCAGTAAGAAAGAGAAATTAACAGGGATTAAAACATCTGTGCTTAGTTTGTAGAATTAGTAATTTCACACCATTCAAAAATATTCTGCACTTTCTTGACCAAAGAATATGAAGACCAATATTAGTGTGTGATGCCAAATGTAGCTAGAGATAATCTGTTGCTTTTTGCTGTAAACATATTAGTGTGTAAACTGTATACATGTATATTATATGAAATTTTTATGACCATTATTCTTGTAGCTATGTAATTTCTGTCTGTCCTGTTAATTTGGTTTCTCTGTAGCCATTAGCATAAAAAATAAGCTCAAATTCATGAAGTTTAGAAAATATCAGGAGCAAGAAACAATTACTGGTATATTTAATTTTTTTATGGAATCAATCTGCTTGGAATGAATGGTTTGCCAATATTTGTTTCGTTTGCACAATTTTTATAGGAAGCTTTAAGCAAATGTTTTGAAAATTGAAAATACTGGTACTTTAATTTGGGATTAATATTAAATTATCAATTTGGTCACATCCATATCAATGTCCATTATTTTTTATTATTTACTACTTCACCATATCTTTAATATCCATACCTCACTATTATCAGGGGGATTTCTAGGTCCAGGATCATAAATTAATTTTTTAAACTCAAAATAACTACTCAAATTGGCGTACAATACAGGAGCTTCAGCACAATATCTGACTGGATAAACTAATATCATATACAGAAGCACAAATTTTGGACTGGATAAATTATGACAAAAGGAAAATACTGATAATATTTGGGGAGGGAGTGGTTTATTGTGTTTGCTGTTGATTATAAAGCTTGCAATTTATGCAAGTCATGTATTTGATCCCTGCTTTGTATGTCAAACCTGATAGGTTTTCTCTCACTTCTACAGATCCTTGTGCGCAAGCAAATTATATAGAAAATTACTAGAATATGATCAAGTTGGTGTGAATTGAACGGACATTAACCTCTCTCCCCTGATACTAATTTTGATTTTTGATTACATATTTTACACTGAATGCTATCAACAAGCAAATAAAATTTGAGTAAAACGTAAATTTGACAAAAAAATATTTTATGATCCTGGGCATGGACTCAGGTAATTTAAACAATATCAGTCTTTTTATATTTATTTCATTCTATCCCATTAATTAGAATTATATTTTAAATTGCTTAATTTAGGATATTCCATATAAAAATACCTGGAGGTGTGGACCTAAGGATTCTTTCAAAAGTCCTTGCATCTTTTGTATCCGGTATGTTGGAAATATTCTACTGAATCTCTATAGGGAGAGACATTAAAATATATATGTATTTGTTTGTAAGGCGTCTACAAAAAATAGTGTTTCTACATCTATCCACCCAAGGGAATTGTTAATTGAATAGCCCTATAACTAAACTCAACATTTATAATTGATATTTTAGTTCTCAGAATTATTTTTCATTCAATTATTTATAAATAACAAACATTCGTGGAAGTGACCATCTTATCCCTAAACCAAAACAATACTAGGGTGAGAGCTTGCTGTCCATAAATGAGAGTTTATTGTATCTGTGATGCTGATCACTTATATTTAAAGGGTTAAGGCGATTATGAAACATTTCTATTTGATTTGAAATTATTACAGCAAGAATAGAATGAACATTTTCATTTGTAAATTCTCTCCTATTTCTCTATATATTAACAGATAATCATAGTCACTATGTTCATGCTGTAATAATTGTATTTAAATAAGGATTTGTAGTAATAAGTCTTCTTCCATTTCAGTGTAACCCAGGCTGCATTGTCAGAAATATTTGTCTTGCTCAACTCAAGGTTTTAGGATATTTGTTACCCAAACTTGGCCAAAATACAACTCCAGTACTACATTTTTTGGACAGGGTTGGATTACCTAATAATCTTATTATATGAAAATAATTCAAATATTATGATTTGAGTTGAGTTGAGCAAAAAAAAGAGTTTCATGATTTTGAAGCCCATTTATCATGTTTCACAGAAAAGCTCAGATTGGTGTTTAGTCCCTATGGACCAGTGTTCATTGTATATAGTATTATATATATAGAATATAGATTAGTCTCTGTACAAAAGAAATAAATTCTTAAAAACTGATATAAGTATTTATATAAATATGTATGGAATGGTACAATATGGTATTGTATTTATTTATTCCATTTATTATTTCGGGCCACAACAGTGCAATGAAATGGGGTTTAACATTTTACTTTTCCACACTGGCTGGGCTAATGAAGACAGGCATACGCCATACAGTGTGCTATGAGGGAAATTTTGCCCTAACAGCGGTGCTAGTCTACTCTAAAATTGAATTCCAACTGACAAGGGTTCTTTTATGTGCCATCTGAATCACTCGGTGGTGTCCTCCGCCACTGAAAAAGGATAACTGGAAAATCCCAGGATCGAACCACCTAGTTAGTGAGGCAGCACCATACTCCATGATCCACCACCGCGGCTTCTCCAGTGCAAGAAGATTAATGATGTTAATATGTACAAATTTCCATACCATAGAAATTGTGTTCTGTTCATGTAATGTAGGTTCAAAAGTTGTCTGACCAAAGAACTGATAAGCTTTACCCTAATTCTGCCTGTCACATCTCAAAATAAATTTAAAGGTTGATGTTGGACTGTATTCATATTGAAGAAAAATTGGTCCAGGAATAATGATAAAAAAACATACAAATACAATAGTTGGGGCATTGATTACTAACAAATTCAGCTTTTCTCTCCATGCTAAATTGTGGCTTTAAATATGCCTGCAATATCTCTTTAGAATAAATGAAATGGGATTTAATTTATTACTGTTCTGTACCAAACTGGCTACAGATACGCAATGAGGAAAATGTTTACTCACTTAAAAGATACATTATATAAGATTTAGATAAAGAGCTGGCCATTCTTCCTATAATAGTTAAAAAAAATAATGCTAAATGAATATATTGAAAATTTTATTCAAATTACTTTATTCTGAGCCAAGATATCACTGTTTGTAGTTTTGACAAGATGTATGCATTGATTGTTTACTATGGTAACCACAGTACTGCTGGTATATTCCAGGCTTTGCCTTGCTTCTCCATATTTAAATTAAATCATTATATGGCCAAACCATTCTAATCTAGTTAAAATCTCAACTATCCGATGGCATCGAGAGTTGATTATAATAATTTATATAACATTTAAGGCCAAAAAAAAGACTAATTAATAATTTATATAACATTTAAGGCCAAAAGAAAGACCTGCAACAGGCAAATTTAGCTCTTGAATAATGTATCTTTAACTGTTGCAGCTCCATGCGTATGTTAATTTCATCCAATAAAAAACATAGATTGGGTTCTGCATTAAGCTGTGAAAGGAAAAATAGCCCCTTCCCTTGCAATGTTTTGGAGAGAGAGCGAGAGAGAAATGGGGTTTAACGTCCACTCGACAAACTAGGTCATTTTGGGACTAACGCATGATTCAATTTTATTTCAATAATTCGCTTGTGCGTAGGGGTCTTTTAGTAGTGGGAGGAAACCCACAAGGTTAGACAGGCGGCCCTACTCCTTGTCATGTACACCGGGGAATCGAAACCACACCAGAAGACTCAATGACAGACTTTATGATACAGCGTGCACATGCCAACCATTCAGCCATCCAACGCCCCGCAATGTTTTGGAACTTAACATTTGAAATTCAGTAGGTTTCTTCCTAAGGCCCCAATGAACAACTTCACCATGATTTATTCCATTGAGAACAATGTCCTGTATCATGTTCACAACATTTTATGAATTTTGAAAATAAATGTTAATAGGGAGATAACTTTGAAATTTGCGATTGGAAACTTATAAATGTCTCGAGTTTTTCATGACAAAATTTGAATAAACTTTATTGTTTAGAGGTTTCAGAAGAAAATATGGCATATAAAAAAGTTTTCCAGAATCTAGGTTCTGTCAGCATACCCTTCATTTTATCAATAAATAAATTTCTTACAAAGCCAACAATGACATATTTACCTTATATGCATACAGTATATACAATAACTCTGTCAGTGGTTGATTTATTTATTTATTTTCACAAAAAGCAATTTTTGTTCACATGCTTAAATATTTGTTCCTTTCATAAATGTGCACCAGTTAACTGCCCTTAATAAACTGCAGATCACCAGCCACCAATGAACATTATTTTTTTTAAAGTATCTAACACTCTTTAGCATTAAAACGTGTAGCGAAAGATACACTACATTAATGCAAATACCTTTAATTTAATATTACATAAATACTATAACAAATAGAGGTCCACCGCAACCAAAGGTTCACATAAATAAGGTTCATAAATGAGGTCTTTCAGTGTGACAAACAGTGTCTATTTTTATTCATTTCTTCTCAATTTTTAAAGATGGACTAGGTAAATACAATTAATACTTTATTTATACTAGCCTACCCAATAACCAAAAATACAGATAAATATCCATATTTATAGCTATATAATTGCTACAATGTATATTTTTGTACAATATTATACACAATTTTGAATAAAAAAAAATAGTATTAGACACACTAGTGGACAAACCTGGAATGAAAACAGGAGCGTAACAATGTAAAATATAAATTTATAGGTAATGATTTAGTTCATACTGCAATTAAAGGAGAAGTCTAGCTGGTACAAATTGTTTAGCATAATAACAACAATTCTATGGAAATATGTTACTGAATTTTAATAGGAGCAAAGTTTCTACAATGATTCTGCTGTTTTTCATGTATTTAACATGTTGGATTACTAAATACCGTTTATACGGTATAAAAGGTTTATCCTTTAATTAACATCACAGCTGTGAAGTCATCCCTAGTAGCATATATGCTAATAATTTTAAAGGGTGATTCAAATTCAGACATATAGGGTACGAAAATAGCTTTTATTGCACAAGCACATGGTTTTATTTATAAAAAGTATCTGAGAGTTAAACTGCTGATGTCACATTTGTTAATTAACAACAAAATGAATTGTACTTCAGGTTCTGCAAAGATAAAACAATTTTAATACCTGATAATGAATAAAATATGAAGGATCTGCAACAGCTTGACTCCTCCTTTAATGTAGTTGTCACAGGGTAAAATATTAAAAAGCTCAATACTCACTTGGAAGGAAAATAAGACAAAATATTCAATGTGGACAGATGATACAAAAATGTTTCAATCATAAGCTTTTTAATTGTCAGACACAAAAAACGTTTTTCTCACACATGAGCATGCTCTATGCACACTTTGACTACACTTTACACAAACTTAAGATAACACAGTTATGTACAGGAATACATAAATGGAATGCAGTGGGAAAGATAAGCTTATAAATTAACAGCTCTTTAACAAAACACAATCAGTTCCATTCAGAACCTCTCTTTTTTTCTCATACATATCTTTTGTCAAATAGCTATTGGTTTAAAATCATCTTTAAGATACTGAAATATATAGTAAAGTGTTTTAGAAAAGAGCTCTTCTAAAATTTATAATTCCTAATAAAATCATTGTAGCTAATAGTTTTGAGTTGCTAATTTAACGCCTTTTCTGCTTTGGAGTTTTTCCTGAAAAGTAGAGAAGAAATTGGAAATTTAACAACATTGATTAAAGAGTTATGCAATCATTTCCGAAATACTTGATATTCTGAGTTGAAATTTTCAAATAAGTTATATTTATAGCACGACTTTCATGAGTTAACAGGTTTAACTAGAGGCCGTAGGCCGATGCGTTAAACCTGTTAACGAATGACTTGTAACATTCACACCTGCTCAACATGCTTGTTGTTATTGCACAGAAAACCCACCCCACTTCTCTATATCATTTCTACTAAAACTAGTGTAAACCAGCAAAAGTGTGCAATAACATTGAACATGTCTAGTTATTGCACGGTTACACTCTCCCAATCTACTAGAGGGAAAACAATCTGCTTATTCAACAAAAAGAACAAAGGAAGCTTTCCCGTCCATGTTACAAGCGCTAACTGATTTGCATACTTCACCAAAATTTTTGATTAGAGTCCATGTGAAAACTTTAAAATAAAAAGATACTTACGCCATAAAAAAATAGTAAGTCCTTCTCCAATCAGGTATAATGATACAAATAATAACATAAGAAAGAAAATAAATATAGCTTTCTGTGGAGTATCTAGAACTTTTAATACAGGATATACCCAAATATCGGCTTTGTATGCAATCCATAATATCCTAAAATATAAAATAAAATATGTTTGCTTACATGTCAGAGATTAGCACGACTAGTTTGTTTGAAAACTAAAGTAACACAGCCTTAACTAGAGGGAAAAGATAGTCGTGGCTTTGTTATGGTTTTTCCCATAGTTGAGTAAAACCATATTCCACATGATGATCTGTGCATGATTGGCTGATCCTGTCATAGACTGAGTCCAAAGAAAGTTGTCTATATACACAGGACCAGAAAAACAAACACTGAAACATATTTCATTAGGTTGTGGTGCAACACTTAATTTTTGCTTATATAATTTAAGCCTAGCTTGCTTATATAGTTACAATTCCCAATAATTTCTGCTAACTGTTGACTATATGAGTATGGAAGACCAAATGGGACAATATTCATGATTCTTGTTTCTACATTCCAGTTTGAACATTTTAGACACGAACGCAACATTCTAAACTAATGATTCTTGTTTCTACATTCTTATGTCAACATTTCATGCACAAAATCAACATTTTAAACAAAAAATTGACTTTATGTTTCATTTTCTGCGTTTTATCGGTAACTTTTATATATCATTAAATATTAAAATTAAAAAATAATTTCTTAATTTTACACGACAAAGAAATCAATTCGTTGGTTTCTGAAAGTATCTAAAAAAAAATCTGGAATTTGAACTCTTATGAAAATATTTTCTACGTTTCAAAAAGTCTTGAAGTTAAAATCTTGAAATGAAAATGTCCAGAAAAATATAATGAATTATCAACATTATTACACCAGAGGGCGTTAGCGTATGTGTACAACTTTGATACAGACTATAGATTAGAAATCAAAAGTAGACTTTTCCACTCGAAACACGCGTAGGTCTAATTTGCAAACACTATCTTATAGTTATAGTTAATATGAAAAAGTAAACAAATAACAGTGAATAGATTCCATTTAAAACCCAGCATTATCATCCATTTTTGCCATATTCGAAACACGTGTAGGTCTAATTTGTAAACATATGAAAAAGTAAACAAATAACAGCAAATATGTAAGAAAGGCCTTTGTCCTAATTTTTCTAGCTGTTTAAATTATAGAAGTTATTTGTATTGTTATTATATCTAGAGCTTAATTTCTTTTTCATGCAACTATTTACTGTAAACACAACAGGGGCCCACTTCCACTCGTGGAAAAGTCTACTTTTGATTTCTAATCTATAGTCTGTATCAAAGTTGTACACATACGCTAACGCCCTCTGGTGTAATAATGTAAATAATTCATTATATTTTTCTGGACATTTTCATTTCAAGATTTATATTTCAAGACTTTTTGAAACGTAGAAAATATTTTCATAAGAGTTCAAATTCCAGATTTTTTATTTTTTGGATACTTTCAGAAACCAATGAATTGATTTCTTTGTCGTGTAAAATTAAGAAATTATTTTTTAATTTTAATATTTAATGATATATAAAAGTTACCTATAAAACGCCGAAAATGAAACATAAAGTCAATTTTTTGTTTAAAATGTTGATTTTGTGCATGAAATGTTGACATAAGAATGTAGAAACAAGAATCATTAGTTTAGAATGTTGCGTTCGTGTCTAAAATGTTCAAACTGGAATGTAGAAACAAGAATCATGAATATTGTCCCATTTGGTCTTCCATATATGAGAGCTGATAAATAATTGTCTTTGACTTTAAAATGATGTTGCATTGAAAATGTTATCATCGTAGTGGAATCTGATGTAAAGATGGCTCTAGCAGGAACATTTAGCTAACCAAGTTTTGTTACTTTTTTGTATATAAAGACATGTATTGTCATTCAAAAAACATTAATAAAAAAAAAAAAAACTTACCAGACTAAATATGTGAGTGCAAAAGCTAATATTACTAGAATACCCTTTCCTTTATTAGGATACTGATGGTAAATTAAGTACTTTTCAATAAGTAAAATAGGTAATACAAATGTATGCTGAAAAATGAAAGATTAGAAAATGATTAATTTTATACCATGATGACTCTAATGACAAACAGCTTTGAGAAAAATTCCAAAACCATTATATCTGAACATCAAAATGCTATTTATATCATTGGACTTTGAAGTTGATTGCCCTTGAGGATTGCATAATGCCATGGCATATATATTTTAAATTTTAGTGGAAATTAACATAAAAAAAAATATATTACTATCTTTTAAAAATCAATTCATTAAAGAAATTCTTTTTTTAAGATAATAAACAAATACTTACATTAACATGATTAACCCAAGCAGGGATAATCTTATCTAAACTTTCAGGATAGACTAGTTCTCGATCTACTGCATAGATAGCCCAGAACGTCATTACTACAAACTGTAAAATAAATTAAACAAGAACGTCAAATTCTACTTATGAGTATCACAGACCATTCGGCAAACCTCAGCAGATTCCAGTACCCTACATCTAACCTCGGCTGTATGACGAAGTCCGCCATTGAAACTACTTTCAAGTTCCCGGATTACCAACGGCGTTGCCCATGACGACACCTTTGAAGAATGTTTTATCATACAAAGATTTAAAAATCTGGAGCTGTTTTTCTCTCAAGTTTATCCGATTTTCTTCAGACAAGTTTGCGCTGAAAATTCTACACACTGTAGTCTTTGAACGACGCAATTGTGAGAATTTCTTTCTAAAAGCGGTACGTTTTTCTAAGAAGTAAACCGGTGCCGCATCGCAATTGTATAGGCGTAGGTACATATCACTTACCGTCATACAGCCGAGGCTAGATGTAGGGTACCGGAATCTGCTGAGGTTTGCCGAATGTATCACAGACCTATTTAATTTATTTTCATTTATACTTATTGCTCTCAGGTCTTTTAGTAAATGTTTGGAGGTTGTTAAAATGTATATAATGTATTGTGGAATACACTTATATCACACACTAGACTGATACAGGTATAATCTATATTTGGGGTTTCACACATCCTCAGTGTAAGAAACCATTACATGTAGTTTTGTTCAGATTATTATGATTTTTCCATTTTCCTTTATGAACTACCTGGTGAATGATTGTGATCTCAACCTTGGGAATGACTTAAACATTAAATCTATTTCCAAAGAGACAGTTTCAGTTTTTATTTTTAGTTCAAAAAGTCAATACAGATTTTAGGAGCCAAATTCTGAACATTTGAATTCCTAAAAAATCCTTAAATATATGAACATAACTGATGTTTCTGTAAGTTAGTTACATGATTTACAGGTTAAAGTCCAATAATGAAACCAAGCATATAAGTATGTATATTCACTGTTAGTTATTGGAGACTACATGTGTACCACACCACATGTAAATTCACTGCTAGTTATTGAAGAATACACATGTACCACACAATAATCTGATGTGTATTGGTCTTTTTACACATTTTTAATATTGTATGATATTCAGTGATAATATGCATATTGATCTTTATATTCTAAAGCACGGATATAAGGGAATGCACTTGTATGATATAATAGCTTGTACCCACATATCAAATGTTAACTATAATTACCAATCTACATATTAGTCTTCTGTGTAATCATAATCTATCATACCCAATGTTAAACATAAAGACCAATATGGCAATATACCCTGTATCTTCTGTGTAAGACAAGTGTATTGCCTAATAACTCGCAGTGAATATACATACATTTGTACATGTATAAGCCATAGTGTGCAGTTCCTGGGTAAAACCATGTTCCTGAAGCAACGACCGCGAGTTTTACAACATCTAGCCGTTGCTTCAATACTCAACAATTCCCGAATTTTTGCGCTCGTTGTGTTTACACTGACTATTTAGCATTGTCCAATCGGAAGTCGTGGCACATAACACGCTGTAAACAAATATGGCAGCCTCCATAGAAAAAGAAATAGACAAGTTTACAGCCTTTGTTGATCAACCACGATTTCCAGCAACCTTGACATTGATCGAACTTGAACTTTGCAACTCGATTGTCACATGTAGACATTTTAGCTAGAAGCATGAGACTTGATAATTGTTATGATATTTTTAACGAAGGAATCTGATAGGATCACAAGCTGGGGTTATACCCAATCAAAATTAGTGCTAAAATATGCGGGGTATTACGTGAAGGGCTTGATAAGATGTATGTAGTTAAGGCGAGATCAAGCCTTCTATTGAAGCTTGATAAGATGTATGTAGTTAAGGCGAGATCAAGCCTTCTATTGAAGATGGGGTAAAACTAGCACTGTAATTAAAGATGCATTATATAAGTGCTAAATCTGCCTAATGCAGGCCTCCTTTTTTGCTTCAAATGTTACATAAACTATTATTTAGACATTTATTCTGATGACATGCCTATAATCAACACTCTAGTCTATCGGATGGACAAGATTTAAATGGATAGAAAATACAATTGTCATTTAATAATTTAATTTAATTTAAAAATGGTGAATCAAGACCTAGTCACGATTGTCGAGTACATACTATTGCTATGATAATAAATGATCTATGCTACATCTTGTCAAAAGTTTAAACACTTCCAAATTCGCTTAGGATAAAGTAATTCCAATGAAATTTTTATTATTTATCTTTGAACTATTATAGTAAGAACGGCCAGCTCTTTATCTACATCGTACATAATTCATCATTAAGGATACATTTAATGCTACTTTCCTGGCAAAATTGACAACAATTTTGGACAAAACAGTTGTAGTTAAATGGACTGTTCTAGCTACCTTAACAATCAAAATTTTGTGCTTTCCATTTCCATTGTGCTTTTACAGGCAGGAAATTGAGTAGAATTTTATGAACTTACCATTCCTGTAGGAAATACTATGGTGGCATGAAAACAATCTCTGAATTTTTGAATAGCTGTCTTCCTTTTAGGATCAGCAGTCGGAGGAACATTGCTTCCGATAACAAAATTCACCAGTGACAAAGCAAAATATATTGTTTGGATAGACTAAAAAAAAAAGACAAATAGATTTCAAAATTTAGGCCTATCATAAGAATAGAATTTTCTACTGTGGAATTACACAAGGTTAGGGCCAAAATGGTCCGCAAGGGATCCAGTTGTGATCCAGTGCCTCATCTGAGTATTTGGTGAATTGAGATTCTACTTTTTTGTTAAATAACCAACATTGTGTTTTTAAATGGGGGGGGGGGGGGGACATTTAATCATGACAACAGGGAAGCTTCAGTGACACTATGGCCTATTTTATATCTATAAGCCATTTAAACTATAAATTATTTAAAAATTTAATAAAACTGTAGTTCAATGTATCATTTTAATTTAATTACAATTGGAAATGCGAATTTACGCGCTTTTAAAAATCTACTGCCAAATCATGGTTTCTATTGCATTTTTTACCCTACCCTACTGCAGCTCCGTGGGGTTGATGGGTCAGAACCTGATCAATTTTATAGCCTACATTTTTATTTTGGTGGCCGATTAGATCAAATTTAGCTTATGGCTGTTTATTAACCCTGGACAGCTAGCCAACACTGACATAGACCTATATCAATGCATACAAACCAGTGAATGTTTTCGGTAGAAACTGTGTTGTGTTTTTTAATATGCTCAATCACTAAATAATGCCACTCCAGAATCAAGGATTATAAAGTAGACCTGATATATATATATATAACTCTGGTTAGTCTAAACCCATACCAACTGCTAAAAAAGGTGAGGTTAAAGTTCATGTCATAAATACAAACCCAAAATAAAAATTGCTGAATATATCCAAGCTATTTCTATTGTTAGAAAAATATTGGCCTATAAATTGATTTACAAAAGTAAATTTCAAATTTTATGTATATCTGTTTGATCGAAGCTGCAACTCACCAAATTCCAAAATGTTAAATATTTAAATTTTCCTGCATAACCTTTGAAAGTGAAAACATTGCCCAATTCTAGACCAACAGAAGTGACATTGAAACTCAATGCATATGCATAGATTGAGGCTGTAGTCGTTAGAAACAGTCCAACACGCTTGTACTTCGTCATACTAAAACGATCTGTCCAGTATTTAAATATCAATTCAATACACACGCTTGGGTTTCAATAACTTTCCAATCTTATCTAATTTCTTAAACGACCATAACTGTTATAGTCGGTGCTATGTACATAAAATAAAATAGGTCACAAGACTGGAAAAGCGTGACACATAAACGCCGCCATACCCCATTTATGACGCCGAACTCGATTCCACTAAACAACTTACCAAATTCCAAAATGTCAAAAACTTAAATTTTCCTCCATAGCCTTTAAAAGTAAAAACATTTCCTGATTTTATTCCCACGGATGTTACATTGTAAGTAAAAGAATATACGTATAGTGTTGCAACTGAAGCTATAAATGGTAGGCCTAAACTAGACAACTTTGTCATCGTTAAGTTCAATAAAAATGGTTAATTAATAATTTCAACCAAAACGATATCGCCAGGCTTCAGCTAATATTAAAGATATTATCAATTTTAGATAACGACCTTTGGAACTTATATAGTGGACAGGTCTCATTGGTTATAATCTATCTATAATCCATGTGTTCTTTTTCTTTATTGTACTCATTTGTTATAATAATTAAGAGCAAATGCAAGGAGACTATAGTCTAATTTTCCACACTAATGAAATACAGATATTATTATTATCGATTTGTTATCATTAGGACATTACATAATAATACGACTTATCAGAAAGCCTGGATAAACACGACAACGTGAAGACAAAATTTCTCCGCCATACTGAATTTCACGATTATTCATCCATAACATGTCGTGAGACTTGCACAAATGCAACTGCAATTACACATATTATATAAGATTATCTTGTATAAAACAATAGAGATTATAAATAGGAATGGCCTCCCCCTCCTAACCATAACTTATCTGAAAGTTAGATAATTTATTTGGAACCAAAATGTGCGACACCGTCGTGCAATACAAATCAATAAAACGAACACATAAAAACTATGTTTCAAAATGAACATAAAGGATGTCGTATCTATGGCTAAACCCCAATTTCCAGGAACAGAGACATACTATTATTTACATTGATATAATGATAGATAATTGTGATGGAAAACATCCATTCATCAATTTACTAAATGCGAGTAGAATTTGAAATTTCGCTAATTTATTTTGATCGATGTCAACCGCCCTGAGTCAGACCTTCATTTGAGATGTCTGCAAAATTTTGTTCTCCAGCTTACCGTGTCCCAAAATGTTAGAAACCTGAATTTGCCTCCATAACCCACGTGTCCTACCAAAACATAAAACCAGTCGTAATATACTTCAGTAAGATAAATTACTAAAACGCTGAAATGAAATACGGCGATTATCGCTGCGCTCATCATCGCTGTCTAAAAAAAAAACCAAGTCAATACACCACAGTAGTCTCGATTACTACTTCCCTTTATTTTACATTATAGAAGAGATGCCTTGACAGACCTTATTTGCGGCCCTTAAATGTTAGGTAATAAAAAATAAAGCAGATAAGATAATTAACAAAAGAAAATAAAATGTAAATTATAAATATATATAAACGATGAAATAAATAAATTTATTTCTGAACGGTAGCAGTAAATTAATTTATTGTAATTTGAATTCTAAAAAAAAACAACATTTAAATTAGGCATTTATTGAATCAAGGATGTACTTTTAAATGGTGCTTCAAATTGTTTCCTCCTAACCAATTGGGGGATCACGTGGCTAAGTGGGTAAGACGCTAGCTCGCTAGGCTGGAGGTCGGGTGTTCGATCCCTAGCTGCATTGGCCGAGAAAGTTCATCCAGATTTTCCGGCGTGGTTCTCCCTTGTCAGTGATGCAGGACGGAGGGGCTGACAAGGAAAGCTGTCTAGTCGTTCGGATGGGACGAAAAACCGAGGTCCCGTGTACACATTGGCGTGCACGTAAAAGATCCCTTGGCAGTTGGAATTCGATATAAGAGTAGGCCGTAGTGCCGCTGTCCGGGCAAAATTTCCCTCATAGCACACTGTATGGCGTATGCCCGTCTTCATTAGCCCAGGTTAGGAGCAGAACAGTAGGACGTTAAACTCCATTTCATTTCATTTCATTTTTTCCTAACCAATTGTCTGAAAAGTGTACATTTAAAGGTGCTTAACAGTTGGACAACAAATTATGTAGGTCAAATTAAAAAAAAGAAACACTATAATATGTACTCTGCCCATTTTCTCTTTGTGTGCATGCAGGTCGCCTACAGCGGCTGCAATTTTTAATGTATCATCGTCTTGAAAATGTTTCATACTTATTCCTTATACCCTATGGATGACCTCATTTATTTTTGGTGCATGATGCCCAAACCCCAACCCCCTGGGACAGAGTCACGCCTAATTTTTGTTTGTGTCTGTGTTGCCTACAGGCCACAATTTTTCATTCTTATTCCTTATATACTCTATGGATGACCTCTTATATTTTTGGTGCATGCCCAATTTTTGTGTGTGTCTGTGTCACCTACAGGCCGCAATTCTTAACAGATCCTTTTGAAACTAATTGGCATACCTATTCCCTAAAGATGATCCCTATGGTTTTTGTGTGTCTGTGTTTATTGTCTACAGACTGCAATTCTGAATGGAACTTGCCATATTTATTCCTTATACCAAAAAGACAGCAAGTATTTATTTTGGTACATGCCCCGACCACCTGGGGCAGTGTCACACCCATTTTTCTGTAAATTTTGTCAAAACAAACCTAACACTTAGCCTTCTTTGCCTTTTGTCATGTTACAGTCGTTACAGCCATTTCATATTTCATCCTCTTCATTTTAAAATATTACATACCGGTATCAATCAAAGCAGGATGTGGACGTATACTATTCAAAAAAAGTAGGGGATATTTGTTTTTGGGGGCATAATACTAAAATATGCAAATGACTACGAAAAAAGTCACTATAGAACCTAACAAAAGAAACATTTCCAGTTACATGTGACGCCCAAACGCACCAATAGCTACCGCATGGAATGCAGGTGATGCTTGGGATCATCATGGGGGTCCAACCCAAGATTTGCACGACTCTGACTTTGAATGTTACAGTCATTGTGGCATTGAATTCCAGGGTGGAAACATCAGTTTAATTGTTTTAGTGACCAGAAAACAAATTTTGATATGCGTTGGCTTACCCAAAATGAAAGGTTACGTGCCCTTGGCATGCTACAGATCGGCACAACACAGGCGGTTGTGGCGCGGACGATGAATGTTTCTCAGTCTGTCATAAGCAGGCTATGGTCCAGACACCGTGATACACAATCTGTACAGGACAGACCACGCTCAGGTCGACCAAGGGCGACAACTCAAGCCCAGGATCGATTTATCCGTACCTTGGCCTTGAGAAATCGTGTCATCACAGCAAATCAGATCAGCGCTCGTCTTCAAACAGACACTGGTGTGAGAGTGAGTGGCCAGACGATTCGGAATCGACTGCAAAGGGGTCACCTTCGCGCCCGACATCCTCGCGTGATCCCTTGTTTGAGAGATCATCACATTCAGGCAAGACGTCGTTGGTGTAGGGATCGTCAACACTGGGATAATCGACGCTGGAGCAATGTGATGTTTTCAGATGAGTCAAGGTAATCTGTTGATTTTTGGACAGACGTAGGAGGGTGTGGCGTCGTCGAAACGAGCGCTTCCAAGACGTTAACGTCATCAGACATGATCGATTTGGGGGTGGTTCTGTTATGGTGTGGGGAGGCATCACTGTTGCTGGAAGAATGGCTTTACATGTTGTTGCAGGGTGTGTTACAGGCCAGTACTACCGGGACAACATCTTGGCAGTCCATGTTGTGCCGTTCGCACGACGTCATGGCCGCCGTTTCATCTTCCAGGATGACAACGCAAGATGTCACAGGGCCAGGATCGTTACAGGTTACCTCCAACAACAGAACATCACCACATTACCTTGGCCAGCACTGAGTCCCGACCTCTCCCCCATCGAGCATGTCTGGGACATGCTTGGACAGAGGTTACGTCAACGTCAACAACGTCCTGCCAATGTCCAAGAACTTGCTGCTGCGTTGCAACAGGAATGGGACAATCTGGACCAAAATGACCTTAGACGTCTCATTAGGAGTATGCCACGTCGGATCAATGCTTGTTTGGCAAACAGAGGAGGATTTACCCGTTACTGACTTGGTTGTGATGCTGTGGTAACTTTGCTGTTTGACCCCGGGTATCATTTTACCCTTATAATGGTCAGTCTGTGCCTTACTTAGTCTAACGATCATTTGGAATAAATCGATGAATGTGAACTTCATTTCATTTTGTCATTTGTTTCTTCGTCAGTTTCATTAGGTGACTTTAATAACACTTAAAAATCAAATATCCCCAACTTTTTTTGAATAGTATATATTGCAGCGTTAGCATTGCTCTTGTATCATCTGCAGAGAATGTCGAATGTTGACATATTTTCAATTCATCATATCTTTGTATATACTGAACAATTTTTGAACTGATATTCCTTTTTGGGGATTCAACTTTCACAATATTCTAGCCTGCAAGAGATTCAAAATCCCTCAAAGCCCATGTTTTAATCTGGCCATGTTCCATAATTTTCACTTTACATATGCATTAAAGAGACATTAGTGCTTTGGGTCTTCTTCGGTTGATATAAACACCAATGTTCTATTCAATAATACAGTTAAATTAGATTGTATGCAAATTTAGAGACAAATCGGCCAATCCATTGCTGATATATACACCTTTTAATTTAAATTTACAAGGTATACAAAATTTTAATGCCTTTTAAGGTGTCTAATAAATGCTTATGACAATAAATTACTCAATGGAGGATAAGGATTTTCATTAATACTGTAGGTGCTAAAGGTTATTTTCAATATGACATTGTATAAAATTAACTGCAATCATTTCTTAGTGAAAGTGAAAGTGGAAATTCCTCTTTAAAGTCGTTCTTTGCAATCTTAAAAGAAATATAATAAGCCAATTGTAAATTTGTTTATTATCTTAGATGTAAGACAATGAAAGTTTTATAATGCACTCAAATTTTAACATAAGAAAATAAGTAGGATATCCCTGTGTCCTCACACATAACAATTCTAACACATAAATTACACCAAAAAAAAAAAAAACTATAATAGTTGATGATAAAAAAAATAATAAATATCATAATAAAATACATGATATATGAAATTCATTGTAATATCAAACAATAATATTCATATTATCAAGTGAAACACAATCCTCATTTTTTACCTTGATAAACTTGGGTTGATAATTGGAGAAGATGCAATAAACGGTAGCTTCCCCAAGCAAAGGTCAATGAGTCTGGGGGCAAAACCTGCAATATGCACGATATGCAAACTAAGTGTGTGGCAATGAGTCAGGGTTCTTAAAAGCATAAATGCTTTAATCCAATTAATAAACTTACATTTTTTTTTTTAAATCTCAAATCTGCCAAACATTTCTTTACAGCAGCTCCCCTAGCAATCAATCAAAGCAAATTAACCAAGGTATAATAAACAATGTTATCACACATCTATAAATCACATATTAACCCTTTGATATGTTACCTCCTAAAATAAAAATATCCGGTTTAAAGAGGCATTAGTGATTTCCAATTTGACTATCAAATTGAATTTTGTATGGAAAATTTGAGACAATTATGCCAAGCCATTGCCAAGATATAAAGGTTTTCAGATATCAATTTATGAGTCCTACAAATATTTTTGTGGTTTTAAATACGTTTAATCAATGCTTGGGAAAAAATACTTTACTCTAAGACCAGTCGTAAGCTTTTATTTCAATAATTAGATAAGTCTAAGGTTATTTTGAATATGATATTCGAAAATTAAACACATTTATTTTCTTGGTGAGAATGATAATGCCTCTTTAACTGCCGAAAATAATAACAAATAATTATTACATGTACTTATACAATGCAAATTTTCAGTATATTATAATTAAAATTAGATGGTACTTTCAGTCTTTTCTGTTCTTTTTTTAAGCTGTCAACATTTCTTTTCCACTGTAAAAATTTGAATCCTCATAATGCCTTTTAATATGTGTTCCCGAATAACTTAAATTCATATTGGTTTCAAAATGTTGCCAGTCACTGCAGTCAGTCATTTTATTTGGCACGATTTGTTTATCTCATAGATTTTTCCCCCCAAAGAATTTGAAACTTTTTGGATTATTTTTAATAAAAACTATAAATTTAACAGTACTTTTTAAAATACCTAATATTAGTCAGGTAAATTGAACAACAGGATAATTCTCAAGCAGGTCAATCTCACTGTCAGTCTGTTAAGACCTTCAAAACAACAGCAATGTTAGATGAATAGGAGATGAATTTATATAAGCTCTGGCTAGTTTTCAAATCCCATAATTATATAGTGTACTTTATTATAATATGTAAATATTTATTGAATAGTGTTAGAAAAAAAAAAGCAATATTATATAATCCTTTAGTGGCATTTAGCGGTTGGAAACATGTGAAAACTAAAACAGTATATGGGACAACAATCACTGGTTTATTATACACAGGCACAATGTTTTGATAAGTATTCTCTTATAGTTATAAAGCATATAACTGTTTTATTTTAGCAATGTTACAGTCTAAGGGCATCTTCAACTTATGAGTGGTCAATTGACCTGACCTAAACTGACCTGACCTCTCATCAGCAAATGAACTCGGTAAATCGTTGTCTTGAGCAATGGATCTAACCGACCAAACTGGACTCAAAATATTCAAAGCACAATGAGATGGAGCAAATTACATCCAACATAAAGTAAATGATCTCCTTTTCTATCAATTTTGGAAATTCTTAAAGATTTACATTAAATAAGAAATGTAAGAAGAAGAAAGAAGAACAATAAAGAAGAATGAATGAGAGAACTTAATTTTGTCTTTACAAATATTTCAAAAATTATAAAAAAAGTTGGAAAGTTTACATTTGAAATTTAAAATATAATGAAGCTATAAAATCCACTTGTATGGTTCACACTTGAGACAATATTGTATTATGCCAAAACTTTCGTCATACATTAATAATTTCAAAAGAATTCAGCCCATAAGAAAATTTAAAATTCTTAAACCACTGATATTCATTTCGAAATTCAACATGCCATGTGTAACTTTCTAATCTCAGATAAATATTGAAAAATAGTGCTGCTGAATGGAAGACATTAATATCATTTAAATATTAAAGAACACTTGTATATAAAGAAAAAAAGAAGACACAATTAATTCGCGATTGTGATTCTCCTTTATTTTAAACCCCTGTTATTTGTAACTCTTGGTCCCCATCCATTCATATGATTTCCAACACCCTGAGTGTGGTTTAATGCAACTATGTTTATGGTCTTAAGTGAAATAAGCCCAAAATTTGTCCATTAAATTAGATAAATATCTTGGACCTTGTTCACCAATCAATCAATCACGACTAGAATATTTAATAATTCATAACAAAACTAAATATATTAATAATTGCACTAGAAAATAGTAAATTTATGCATATTCATTAGCATATTATGAATAAAAATAAGCCTCATGCATATTTAAATAATTATAATATAAGGCAAATATGAGTTTGTTAGATATTCCTACATTTTAGCTTACCACAAATGAACCTAACAAATTTAACATTTCAGTACTTTCATTTCATATTTCAGTACTTTCAGTACAGGTACTAGTAAACTTAACATTTCAGTACATATATTGGCACTTTGACATTGAAGGCTTGATGCGTCATTTGCAATTTCACTAAAATATCAAATTTCTCACCGTTTAAGCCATGGTAAAATTACTCTGATTGATTATTTAACATTTAATTAAGAACACCAAACCAAAATACCAAGGCTAGATTCAATCAGATTTAAACTAATTAAACTAAGCTCATCAGGTTTCTTCGCTACCAATAAAATATGGTGGCGTCTTCATACATAGCGAAGAGCAAAGATCGACGAAATTCAAATTTTTCGTAAATTCGTAAATACTGAATAGAAATGAACCATTTCTGAATTGATATTCCTATTTGAGATCAAACTATCATAATGGATTCCTCTAGTGTTAAATGATGCATCAAGTTCTTCAAAAACTTAATATGAGCATATGAACAAGTACAAACAAATTTAATTTGTCAGTACATGTACATTGAGAAGAAAATCAAATTTACTTGTGATTTGACAGAATTAACAACAGTACATGTTTGTATACAGTACTAGCAGTTATAGCTCATTTTAGTACAAGATAAATTTTCAACAGATCTACTTGCACTTTCAAAATCTGGTACCGATATTATACATTTGATTGGGTCCTTCATCACTGTACAATCGTGTAACTTTAATTTCCTTGTCAAATAAAGGCGTAATCTTTGTCCCCTGCTATTAAAATGGGTTCGTCCACCTGCCTGCCTGATTTGTTGATACGTTGGAATACGATAATTCGGTTCTAATTGAGTAAGAGTGATGGGACTTGGTATATACTTTCCATTTCCTCAACACTTTGACTATAAGCAGGGCGATACGCAATTAAGAAATTAATAGCCTTTGGTCCAGCTTTATGGAAAATAATATATCAGTAAAGTAAGTAGACTGTTTATCAACATTAATTAATTATTTTCTACTTCATATGCTTATAGTCAACCCATATCAATATTAATATCACCCAACCTCCTTCCAATCATATTTCTTCTTCTCCATTTAGAAGATAAATTTCTCTGTTAAAAAATTCAACATTTAATTTAATACACATTGCTAACTATCAAATCATTTCCACTCATATTCTCTTCACTTTTCAGCAGCATCCATCTTTACTCTTTATATCATTACTATCATGAGTCCTCATAAATATCCATTTTGTACCTCATTACAGCATGACTTCTTGTAAATATTCATTTCGAACCTCGTTACTCAGCGATTCATGAATTTATTTAAGAAGATATATTCATACAACCCCTGCCCCACAACCTGCTCTATGAACATTCATATCTTTGATGGCTAACCATTGGTCCGTTTCTGGGTTATAAACTTCTGCACTTCTCAAACGACTTTGACCGTCAAACCCACCCAGCACATAAATCTGTCCATCAAATAATGCAACACCTGGCCATGCCCTAGCTGTATTCATAGGTGTAATAGTGGTCCATTGCTTAGTTACTGTGTTAAATCTGAAAATAAATTTTTATAAAAAAATTGATAGTTTAAAGATACATTATGGGAGATTAGATAAAGAGCTGGCAGTTCTCACTATAATAGTTAAAAAAAAACCTAGATAATGTAAAGGGAATTTTCTGAAAATTTCAGTCAAATTGATCCAATCTGAACCGAGATTTTAGCAATTGAACTTTGGGCCTAGCCTCGATCATCATTACTAAAGTCGGTACGATAAAATACATAGTCTCGATTATCCATTTCTTGATTTAATCATGAATGAGCGTAGAATAGCAGATTGGATTCTAATCCAGTAAATATCGCAGGCTAGCTATGACATGGAGAGTTAATTAATGTCTAATTGATAATTTAGATAACATTTCAGACCTAAAGAAAGACCTTCAATAGGCAGATTTAGCACTTGTATAATGTATGTTTAATAGTCAGGACTGTCATTTCAGTCATATTTGCATTATACAAGTATAGAAGAGCTATACTACCTCCTATTCCTGGTCTCTCTTTAGGCCTTAAATATTATAATCAACTCTCGATGCCATCGGATGGCTCCGATTTTAAGTAGATTTAAATACGTTTTGCGGTTAATGAATTAACGTAAAAATGGATAATTGAGATTATGTATATTATTGTTACAATGACAATCGAGGCTACATTGTAACTGCATCGCCAATAACTTGGCTCAGAATTAATTAATTTGACTGAAATTTTCAACATGTTCCCTTTTCATTATGTATTTTTTTCCTATTCTAGCGATAACTCTCAGCTTTTTTTTTTTATCTAATCTTACATAATGGCCCTTTAATTTACAAGTCATAAAATTGGAATTTCAAAGAACTGATCTTAAAACACAGAACATAGAAATATATAAATGTCTTGCTAAACAAAATATGTCAAAAACTGACTGACAAACTTTTATAGTGGAAGAACTGAACTGCATAATGCAAATTGATGGAGATTATTAAAAAATGAGCTGGGGTGATACAAATGTTTTAACCCATATGTATTTCAATCACTTTTTGACTATTTTAACTGACTTGTTTCGCAAATTTTAAGCTAAACATAACATAGTTTTATAAACCTGCAGGTCTGCCGTTCATTTATTTGCCTGAAATAAATAAGCTGAACTTAAATCACTCACCTTTCTACTAAATCAAAATATTGATCTAAATGACGAAACCGACCACCGATTGCGTAAATAAATTGATCACAAGTTACTAAGGCTAATCCTGACCGCCCTTTCTCCATTTCTGCTACAAATGTCCATTCCTGTGTATCGGGATCGTAACATTCTACACTGGCTCGATCCATGTGAAGTATTTTATCAAAACCACCTGAGGAAAATATCAAATAATTTGTCAATTTGTAAAATTGTGCTGTGAGGAATCCTGACAAGAATGTCTCTGAGTTGAAATCCCAGTAGTGGCCAATAGGAACCTTGGACTCAGATCCCAGTGTAAGCCAAGAAGAACCCTTTGCCTGTTTCAAGTCCAGTTTGCGACTGCAAGGTGTACACCCACCTCATTGCACATTCAACCATCATCAATCTGATTAAAACAGATCCTATTCTGTTTTGTTTTTTTTTATAGTTCAAAATTTTGTTTTATTTGTCTGTACTACACTAGGATCTAGAAGAGTTGCTATATAGCCTGCATTCAGGATGGCGTGAGGGATTAGTCAATGAAACTATTTGTTACGACGACTTCTTTGCGTGCAATGCATGAAACTGTGAATAAACCACTAGAAACGTCAACGTTCATTGACTAATCAATGTCTGACATCATAGGGTCAAAAGCCGTTCGTACGACCATCAAAAGGCCATCAAAAGTATAAAAAAAACCCCCCGAAATATAGATCTCAAAATATCCAGTTTTAATTTCACTTCATTTACATCAAAGCTATATGTAAACTTCAACTGTACAACATATAAAGAATTTTAAAATGTGTATTCAATATAAAAAGAATTTCCCAAACTGCCATGCATTTTTGAAAATGTTTAGAATTTGAATGTTTGACTCACCTGCCACATAAATTTTTCCGTCACAAACAGCCACGCCCGCTCCGCCACGTTTTCTTTTAATATTTGGTGCAAAACTCCATGCTTCTGTTTTCGGGTCGTATTTTTCTACAATATTATAACTACAGGACCTGTCTTCACCACCTGAAAACACATCAAATTATGCGGGAATTTAATTTTAAATACACTGAAATATAGAATTGCCAGACACCTGCTTGGCTTTCAGGTTTTCAGGTTGGGGGCATTAACTGTCCATAAAATTAAAATCACACATCATTAAAACCCTGGTGTAATATCAATGGCCTTTTCAAAGAGAAAAATTGAAAGCTATAACTACTGTTTGCTTTTTGGTCATTTTGTCCCATTTTTGACCGAAATGTAAAAATATTTTTAATTTGATCTGTTAACCTATTGCATACACAGCCTCTTGCTGCTGCCACTGGTAATTGAGTCCCATTTGGGAATTAAACGTAACTAAAGATCTTTTTGATGTGGAATGCTCACCTATTGCATACACACAGCCTCTTGCTGCTGCTACCGCAACAAATGATCTTGCCACTTTCATTTCAGTTTTTGGTATCCACTGTTTTAAGACTGGATCGTAGCATTCTACACAACGAAGATAAAGTGTATCTTCTTGTGTTTCCAGCAATGCACATTCACCCCCTACAGCATACAGTAAACCATCTAAAGATGTAGCACCTACAGCTGTTCTAGCTATATTCATACTACTTGTAGGCTAAAAAAAAAAAGGGAAGAAATACATATATGTCACATGAATCCGATGGGGTTTAACATTCACTCGACACAAACTAGGTCATTTTAGAACTACCATATGGTTCAATTTTATTTTATTAATTCGCATGCGTATAGAGTCTTTAGCAGTGAGAGTAAACCAAAGAAAACCCATGAGGTTGGACAGTCAACCCTACTCCTTGTCACGTACAAGCAGGGAATTGAAACCACCCCACTTGACTCAATGACAGACCTTACAATGCAACGTGCACATGTTAACCATTCAGCCACCCAACCCCCTAAAAAAGTCAAGAGACAACAGGCAAATATACATTACCGATTTTCAGTCAAACTAAAATAAACGCATTATTATAGATATTACTGAATGTCATGTTTATCAATTTGAAAATATATAAATACTTATAAAACTCCAGTGATTGATTATGTTACTAAACTCTATACACAAAACTTAATGTGAACATAAATTTAACATTGTCATTGTCCATCGTCTGTCAACAATTTCTTGTGAACACTCTCCAGCCTTCAGGTCAGACTTTTTCAGAAATTTGTTTCAAATTTGCATTAGGTCACACACATCCTGGATGTAGTAACGATCACTCCGGCCCAAATTGTCTCCACTTCAACTATCACTAATATTAATCAGAACAAACTATATATAGCAGAAAGTGTGTCTACAGTGTCAAAGGTTGTATGATTGGTTGTGAGGAAAAAATCACCTTGTCAATTTCCCAGAAATCAATACATGAACAGTCAGGCAGCCAGTTTGGTCCAGACTAATAGTGGAAGCAAACACAATTCAAGCTGAAGAAATCAAGATTAACCCCAGTCAGACCATTTAATTCTTCAAATGTTTTGTTATTATAAAAGTATCAAAGTAACTTACATTCACAACCCAACTATCTGTCACAAAATCATATCTTTCCATACTATTCAGTTGACAATCAGTCGAGTTACGCCCCCCAACCACGTATATACAAGGAGGTTGTGCTCTGGGTGTAATCATCTCCATAGCAACATTGTCTTGTTGTGTCCGTATGGCTTTACTGATCACTAATTGACACTTGGCACATGTATGAAAGTATTCTGATTTTAGTACAACATTTTCCAAATAAGACAAGTCTAAAAGAGCCAATCGAATATTTTTTAACACTGCACATGCAAAGTGTGACCTATTTGCAGGGTCATATTGTATCCATGCACACGCAGCATCAAAAACTTGGTGTTCACTGATGACCCGTAATTTGTCACTGTTTAGTAAATTCAATAGTCGCTCTTGACTTAGTTCATAAAATTCTTCAGATCTGACAACATCCAGAAAGTTTTGAAACATAAATTGTCTTGCATAGGATGCTAATTCTGTAAGACCATACATATCGGCAAAATGGTGAATACCTAAAATACATAAAAAAAATATATTATAAAAATCAAATAACAGATAAGTAAATGGTCTCCTGTCATTTTATATTTTCTAGCTCTAGTTGGCCTAAATATTAATTACTGTGTAATGCATATGAAGAGTCCAGGGGAAGAATGATCTAAGTCACATTTTTGTCTTTTCACATAAAAGGCAAAACAGATTTTTGGACGAGAATTCTTGACGCGAACAGAACAACGAGTGGGTTTAATTACAACTTCAAAATGATGTTTAACATGAATCATAATTACCAGTACAACAACTCACTTCCACTTTTCAGCCAAATTAAGGTCAAATAAAGGGTACGATGGACGTATTTGTTCAGGAGGCCATTTCAGAAGGACCTTGGTTCGATGTGAACCTGATCGTTTTTACCTGAAATTGATTGTTCCACAGAAAGCTTATACAATTTTCTACCAGATGGCTCCATTAACTGGGTTCGTTGAAAAAGTGACCTAGATCGTTCTTCCCCAGGGCTCTTCATATGTGCCATACATTTTAAAGTTATGGTCATAATATTATATACGAGTCACGATTTCAGGCTTTAGTCTTTTCTTTTTAAATTAAATGGGAGTTTGATTTTTACTACATGCAGTATCAAACCACAAATACTGTACCTAAACAATTTGAAGATGCCAGCTGATTTTCTAAGAACTGGGAACAGTTGCTTCTTAATGCTGCTAAGCCAAGAAGACTGGCGCCTTGTAAAATATTTTGAACATTTTCTATATTAATTTCTAATAGTCCAGTGTACATAAACTCTAGTAAAAGATTCATAGTCCTGGCATCAATTCCATGAATTTCTACTAGCGACTGATCTGTTTCCAGCATTCCGTTGGTAAACATTGCTCGGAGATATGGACTGCAACCTGCCAGGACGACTTTGTGTGCATGATATTTGGCACCATCAACTCGCAAAACAATGTCACACAAGTGTTCTTTGACTCTTAGTTCATTCATAACATTCAAAGCAGACTGTGCATGCGTTTGGACGCAGCAGTTTCGAGATTCAATCATGATTGATTGCAATTAAAAAAATCTTCTTATTTCAAAAACAGATCCATGAATACAATTTTTTCGTCTGAAAAACACAAACAATAATAATTTATTCAGGGTACAGCTATACTGACAAATCATCAGAAAATTTTATGCCAAGCCCTTGCCACTTTTTAAAGCGTCTGCATTATGGTCTTCGATAGGCTATCATCACTCCGACGATAAGCTCTACAGCCAGTCATAGATTTGGCTAGTTACCAGAATAATGTCTACTTCTAAGTTAATTTATACATATTAGTAGTTTTAATTTAAGGGCACTCATTAATATTCAGATTTATCTACATTGTAGATCGTGGGCAATTATATTACAGCCTTAGTTTTAGAGATTTTACTACTGGTGGTTGAAGTTTGGCAGTAGCGTCATGTTATAGTATAAGATTTGGCCTCAATGTAGACTATTTTTAGTCAGTTTAGTATCGAACATTCATATGATGAATTGGATTTTCAAAAATAATGGATGCTAACTTGGCAAAATTTATACATGTGACTTCATAACCTGTCACAGTCCTATGACTAAACACGAAATTTAACCTTGATTCACTCTACTTACATGTATATATTATACTAAATGCAATAATGCGAAACTACCGTACTGGTAGGCTACCTAAATAATAATATACTGGTGATGTCAGTCATGGGCAATTTATAATATCTGTGCTAAATAAATTATTAAAAAGCTTAAAGTATTGCAGTTATATTGAATAGGATAATATTTTAGTGAGAAAATAACAAAAAGAAAACGTCAAGCAATGCATTGGTACAACTGAACAAGTTCCTTTTAAAATATTTCTAATGTATAGATATAGTACCGTATTAAATAGTTTAAATTTATGTCAATAAGCCTTATAAGGTTCATGCAAATACAGAGAAATGCAATAAATGGCTACATATCTTTGTTGTATAATATGTATACTTATTGATTATTTTGCAGCGATGAATCATTCAAAAAACTTATGGGTCACACGGCATGTCAAAATATTAAAAATCACCTGCTAGCCTAGTGCTGACGTATGATTCTATTTGAATGACTGAAAGAATCGAAAACTGAGAATTGGAAATTTTTCGTTACCAGCCTATGTAAGTAATGGTTTTGAAGTCATTCATGGGAATGAAATCCAAAATATGCACATAATTATGCGTGTAAAATATATGACAGGAAGAGGAAAATAATCACAAGTAAATCCAAGATATCTACAACACGAATAATAATGTCAACAAACCTTCATAACGAACCGGAAGTAAAATTGTGTCGCTTGCATCATGAACAATAATGGAGTTGCTTCCCATAGACCTATTGGCAAAACTTCACTATTTATTTTGTTTATCGGTCGGGCATTTTGACAATTTGTCGCCGAAATGCCAATTGGTCAAAAATTGCAAATAGATAATAAACGAGAACAAAGAAAGGTCAAAAGTTGACATACAATAACGATATGTTTTTTTTAAATTATGGATTTTACCGGGTTGTTTTTTAATACCATGCTTATTAATTGCAAGAATATAATCCCCTGCCGTTGTGTTGGGATACGGTCGTCAAATCATCGAGCTGTGTTAATACGAAATAACAGCGAGTTGCCATTATCTTTATACAAACAGTGAAATCTTACCTACAACTTTAAAGCGCGCATAGAATGATCATAGTTTGTCATTTAACGCGACAAAATACAAAAACTCTATTAGTATTATGATGGGGATTTCCCTTTTAAATTAATATTAATACTGCTATACATAGCACCAAAAACCTTAAATGATCGGTAAAAAAATAAGTCGCGTGACGGACAAGTAAATATTAATCGAGAGTAAATTCACTTTATATATATATATATAAAAAGCCCGTCTACGTTTACGCGGTGGCCAAGTAATATAATCGTGTATGGCGTAATAAAGATACATGTACACCTAAAAAAAGCGACTAGCGGCACGATTTACTTTACGTCATTTACATTTCATAATTTATTAGAAATTGTGTATGTCTCAGTATTATTTCCGAAAAAAAAACCCCAACGCTAATGAAAATCCCTAACACTTTTGTGTCCCTTAAAGGCCCATGGCGCCGGACCCCCCCCCCCCCCTAACGACCCCCAAAAAATATAATAATAAAATAAAAACCCTACTACAGGACCGATTTACTTTACTTCATCTACACAACTCAGTACATGTATTTCCGAGAATAAAACCCAACCTCTAACGAAAATCCCGAAAAAAAAAACAACTCTTTACCGAAAATCCTCAACGCTTTTGAGTCCCTTTAAAGGCCCACCAAGCCGGAATAACAGTTACATTAGAGGTGTAAGATTAATGTAAACTTTGAATCAAAATTGAAGCGCATTCGAATAAAAATCATTTTCAAGACAAAAAGACTTTGTTATATCGAGTTATTTCCCTTCAATTACATTTGATCCCAAGAAATTTTTCACCGGCTCATCTTCGACATCACAGTTAGTGGAACATGCTCTGTTATTGTACGTCGACAAAGTATACGGAAGGGTGGTATTTTGACGAAAAATATAAAAACATTGATATTAGATCTTTAATGAAAAAGAAAAGCAAGGTCCAAATATATAAAATTTGTATGTGCATAAAACTAAAACTATAACACCTCTTTTTTTCCGCACGTTAGAATACTTTGCTATACATTGTAAATTCTGATATATAATCATGTTGAAGTATCATTATAGAATATGGATCGATATTGCTATGACATGGACATGTACGTTTTTCCCGCCATTATAAAACTAGTTTTGCAGTTTATTACCTTAGTATCCATTCATTTATTGATTTTATATGGGTAAAATTTGAAATGCTCGATTACAAATTGCAAATTAAATGAGGATCCAAGAAAATTCTGTAGTGGTTGTTTTAAAATATATAGTTTCTTGACAATTTTATTTATTAGAATTTTTATTTTTACAGTTGAGTTAAAATGTTTCGAAATAACTCATAACGGTCGTCAAATCATCACAAGAAACTGAAACGCTGTTATCTTATTCAAACGATCAAATCTTTTTGTCATTTTTCATGACCAATTTGATTCGGGTGAACAATGGCGTTCTGAAAGTCCGTACATATACCTATAAACCAAAACTGTAAACTGAGATAGTCTTTAAACATTGTCATATCTCATATCAGATTTTATTTTTTGATTTTTAACTGTGAACATGGCACCGTTATCAGTTTTATAGACATGAAATTGTCGTCAAAAACTAATATATCGACCAGAGCGCAAAGTTCTCCCTTTCTTTAGTTTATTTCTCTATCAATATTTTGTCAGACAAAGGACTATTTTCCCCAATCATTAGATGTTTGGGCCATGTAATAGTATTGATATTGACAAGTTTTTAAATTGGAGAAACCCATCATAATATAATTGTAATTATCTTATCAGTAAACAAAACATTCAGCACTCAGAATTGTCTACTTTGATTATAAATGAAATGAAATGGGGTTTAACGTCCTTCTGTTCTGCTCCAAAGTGGGCTAATGAAGACGGGCATACGCCATTCAGTGTGCTATTAGGGAAATTTTGCCCGGACAGGGGCACTACGGCATATACTCTTATATCGAATTCCAACTGTCAAGGGATGTTTTACGTGCACGCCAATGTGTACACGGGACCTCGGGTTTTCGTCCTTGTCAGCCCCTCCGTCCTGCATCACTGCCAAGGGGGAACCACGTCGGAAAATCTGGATGAACTTTCTCGGCCAATGCAGGGATCGAACACCCGATCTCCAGGCTAGCGAGCCAGCGTCTTACACACTTAGCCACCGTTACCCCCTACTTTGATAGATCTGTCCTGAATAGCCGCCAGTATAATATTTCATAATGCGGCTCCAATCCGTTTTACGTCTTTCATACACGCAAGACAATGAAAAAATAAACAGTTTAAATTTCATTAAATGGAAACAGAATAAATACATCGCAAAATTCTCAAAGTGTACTTAGTGTTTTCGACTAAAATCGTCAATGGAATTAAAATGTATAGCTATTTGTTGACAGGCCGCGTAAGTTTCGTATGTAAGCAATATTTACCAATGCAAATGTTATGGATAATGAAATATACATGGGATACCCCTTAACGTTTAGTCAATTAATGAATAATCTAATTAATGCGTGGGCCTTTTTATATAAATCTTATTGAAATATGTTTTATGAAATCAAACGTTACTACTTTATTTTATCAAGATTAGAATACATTATCTTAACGATATTTCATAAAACAATATCGTTTTTCATGATAAGTCTAAAATAATCCTTAGAGATCCCAAGAAAAACAGGATACGCACGCTGTTTAAGCATCCCTCTTTATTTTAAAGACGTTTTGAAATTCAAAACCTCCATCGTAGTATGAAGCGTCTGCCTTCTTAGTCGATTTTTTTGCTCTCTCTTGGTGTAAAGATAACGGCAGTTCGCACAGAGCTTTAAACCTAAATAGCGATAAACTCGGCATTTAACTATGGGTTATTAAAGACTGGGATAAGTTCAGTCTGAAATGGTGGCAGTATTTTAATTGAAGCTCCTAAAATTGAAATGGAACATCTTACGGTTTACTTTGATAATTCTGAATTAGGTGAATTATTTCGAAAACAGTGAACATTCTTCCGAAGTTTTAATACGTTATTTATATTAGACACTAAAAGAAATAGGAATTAACTATAAACCTTGATTTTTGTGGGATGAATTGTTGTACGGGATATTTAATGAATAAAATTTCAAGATTAATGACAATTGGGAAAATTAAACAAAAGTAATAAATAATTGTATTGAACTTAAAATACAGACTTTTATATCTTCTGTGATAATTATAAAGTTAATATAGTTATGATATGTGAGTTCCTAACAACGACTTTTAGAGGTTGACAGACATTTGGAATTTTCACTACATATATTATCCGAAATAAGGTAAGTGACCATTTTCCTGATTTCCCTTATTTTCCGTGATAAACGTTTTAAGGTCTAACAGATTAACGTAGCAACCATAACAAAGAATACAAATTGACATTTCGATATTGGGCAAGTAGACCTACGGTTTCTGTTTCTGCAATATTAATCTGAATATATATAAGATATTTGTTATCAAATATTTTCAACCTATGGCGGGAATGGTTAAATGTATGACTGTGAAAATGACACCGTACTCTCTTTCTTTCTTGATGAATACATTTATTTAGATATATTTTATGCTTAGTCCCTTCAAATATTTGTGTCTAAAATAATTTTGATATAATTGTTTGTTACTAATTATAGCACAGATCCCGTCCTAAAATCGAAGCATTGTCTCCATACGCTAATAATAATAATATGTCGCGAGCGAGACAGTGTGTGCTTACTATCCCGTACTTAAAACCATTTCCTAGATGTTTGGATAGTTTCAATATAACTACATGTAATATTGTTTCATTTTGTGTGTTTGTATTTGACATTTTGTAGACTATAATATATGACTGTCAACTGCAGTTTTGCCTGAAAGTGTGGTATTTGTAATGTCCAAGAAACATCAAATGATACTAAACTTACATAACAAGCTCACAATAAATTAAGCAATGATTATAGACCGCCCGGCAAAGTATAGTAGAAAGAACGTCCCTCGTCATACGTGAATTATGGTAATAAATATGCAGGGACATATCTGAAAAAAGAAAACATAATATTTGCAAAAAAGCTTTATTTCTGTATTGACGACACTGAGTGCAATGTTGTGAGTTTATATTTCGACATAACCATTAGGGACTATGCCCATTAAAACGCATTTATTAGTTATGTTGTAAATATAGAAAACGAATCAAATCGCTGATGTTAGTTGATGTTTATTGGTCCGTAGTGTAGTGCTATGGATTGCGCAAACAAAATTATATTTGTGGGTATACATGTACCTGTAATGGACCAACTACATTGTCATGGTAGTCCTATGCTGACAAAAAGTGTTGGCGAGGCGTTAATTTCCAATAAAATCGCTTTATTTAATGTGAAATGATTCTATAGAAGACCAAGAGCAATACAATATTCATCATTTTAATAGAGTATTATATAGTGCCGCTTTAATAAGATTGAAATAATACCCTTTCTTTTTCCTGTATTGTGGCCCCTTCAATCTAAGTCTTGTACTATGCAAACTTGGGAATTTTTTGTAGATTATTTAATGCAGATCGAAGAAACTATTATTTGGTTAGCTTACGACCTTTCAACCCACATTCTAATACCAGTGTCCTTCAGATAAGATAGGTATTAATTATTGTCCTAATTAGTGGAGCCAGCTAATTTTAATGATGTCATTAATTTGGGCGAGATAACCCATCGTTGACCTAACAAGACAATGGATATTTGTTTCATAGTCGACTTTTACATTATTCTAAATAAAAAGCATATCTAAAATGGAAACAACATAATTTGTACATATATGTAAATTTAAAAAAAAGAGAATGAAATGAAATTGGTTTTAACATCCCACCTTTATGCCATACAGGGAAATGAGGGAAATCGAATTTCAACCGTCAATGATTCTTTTACGTGCATAAGGACAAGTAACATTAATCAACCTAGATCTGATCCTGGTACTCAACAGTCGAAATATTTTTTTCGTGTTAGTCAGACTTACTAATTATGAAATATACATTTTAATTTATTAATTAAGCTAGACAATCTTTCTTCTAGAATACTATCATCAACAACGCCTCTTTAGTACCGAAGTAGTGGGATAAGTGCCGCACCCTGAAAAAAAAAGCGCCCACTACTTTGCAAACAAATCCGATAGTTCCATGAAATACATTTGCAATAACCCAATTTAATGCCCGATGAACTCATCATAAATGTCAAGTAAATGCTATATTTATACATGTACTAACAATTCTGAAGTTGACATAAAATTAACTATTGGCGAAAACATCCGATGCCCCCATCCTCGGCAAAGAATGAATTTTGATTTGAACAAAAATGCAGAAAACATAATGGACAAGGTAACATACAAAATTTTGGAAATCCATTAACGGCACAAGTAACAAGGAGTTATCTCCCTTTATGGAAAATATCAATAATTATTGATAACGGTATTTAGTTTAAGCAATTATTTCGATAAACTGAATAGGATTTAACAATAGACAAGGACCCATATAACTTCTCCCCAAAAATTATTTCTACTATAATATCTGTAAACCCCTTTTTCAGATAGTAGCCTATTTGAGGATAAAGTACATGTACCAACAAATATTTAAACTGAGAGAGAGAAATGGGGTTTGGTTTAACGTTCACTCGACACAAACCAGGTCTTCTTTGATTGGCAGTTAGTATTTGAACATATTAACACAAGGTACAATTTTATGGATACACAATTACTGAGTTTAATACTAAGCGACGTTTCGATGAGGAAACTCTCGTCTTTATCAAGCAAATGATATAGGTATGTGAACAGTAGGCAAATATATACAGAATATGCAACAAATGTTTAATTGTATTTGATTCTTATCTTTGTTGCATATTATGTATATATTTGCAGAAATAAAGATTTTCAGATATACTAGTAGAAATACTGTTTTGCGAGAACTTATATAGCTCCTTGCCCGTTCTTCAATCCGATTTAGTTTGTTGAATCAAATATTGCTTAAACTATTGTTTTACGTTCCATCCGAACGATTGGGCACTGTCCTGTCCAGACCCCCTCGTCCTCTACCACTGACAAGGGGAAACCGCACCGGTGTTGTACTGTAGACAATGTGAAAATGAAACAAAAAGACTGTTAAAGAGACCGAATTTGATGTTTGCACATGTAGTGACAGCGATGATGATAATGATGATGATGACTAACTTTGATGACGTTTAAAGTGAAGAGTAACCGTGTAATTTTGATTTTCAATGATTGCTGTACTCCAGAAATAATTAGTTTTTGCCATATATCTATATTTGTAAACAAATTATAGATACGATTTCAGTTTAAATATCTTTGTAATTTGGCCTTAACTAGAGGTTTACAGCTACATGTCGTAAAAATACTGCATGGTCTAATTCAAAGGGTATATGGGTTGTGGGTTTATGTTTTAGTAGAAAAAATCACGTGGTTTCAATGCGATTTACAATGCTATTGGTAGATTCTGGTCTCCATTACTTCATAACCATATTGCTCAACCAATGGCAAACATATCCCCTGGCTCATCAGACTCTAGCCACCCAGCCCATAATTTCTGGGTAAACACCCGCCCACCAACCCCCGCAGGCCCTGGGACACCATTAACTATATAAATATTGGGCTGTGTGCTCACCCACGGTCTTGTGGGTCATATAGCATCAGCAGTAACCACGCATAATAGCCATAATTTTGGTTAGGATCGATCGATTTGAATAATTATTGGACTAATGCATTATATACATGTAGTTTGTATCTTTGATTGCGTATCGTATTAATCTCAATATCTGATATTTATTTATAAGCTTGTGCTCCTTTAAATTACATTGTATTGATAACACAATAAGCCTGTTCCATCAGTTTTCTATAAATACGGGCGTGATATATTAAAATGAACAACCAGTACGCTTATCATCTGGTCTTATCAAATACCAAGTTAGAAGTTAGAGATAAAAGTCGTTTCATTACTTCGTTTCGTTTTGTCTGATATAACATCTATAACAGCATTTAACGGTGGGTACATGATTCTTAAAGGTTACGTCGATCCGTGATAATTCCAATTGTAAAATTTCTAAAATGGAAATGATCGTGATTTGGAATATTATATTAGATGGACAATCACTCTTATCTGAACAGCTTATTCACATCGGGCTGTGTTACAAATTTCGGATAGTAATTGACAATATTTTTTTTTTAACAAGTTCAAAATAAAATAATTTAAGTAAGTTTGTGTAACGGTTCATTTCCTTCCAACCGTTAATGCTTGTATCATCATAATATGCCAATTTATGTCGGTTTCATCCAAATATCGTTTTGAGTTGGGTCTGAACTAAAATTCATTTAAACATAAATTCTTTGTTTTTGTATTTCAGAAATCAGATGAACCGTTTCAACCTTTAGTGAATTTAGATGAACTACTTTGAATATTTTTACCGGAAAGAGGAACGATTTGTTGGAACCCAAAGATAGAATAATCGTTTGTTAGTGAGGCGGTATCGCGCTTGTTATCAATTGAGAACCATGTTTCAGAACTCAATGACGGAGGCTACACCTCAGGGATACGATGCCTCAACACCTAGTTCCTATCTTTATCCTAGCACCGGAAGTTCATTACATGTTCCAACTCCAAGAAGTGTTGTACCTATCCAATATGGCAGCCAGACCGGAAGTAACGTAAGCAATGCCTATAACCAGATTGATAATTCGTACTCTGGAGCAGTATCCCAACGCTATGGTTACAGTCCCACATCTGCTTCCCATATACCCCCACCCTCGGGGCGATCAGAGGGAGTTTACTCCACAACCCTACCCCGGCCACCAGGAATCAGCCCATATCCTTCCTACATGAGCAACGAGATCAGCCGGTGGTCAACATTTAACAGTATGACGTTACAACCCGGGCTTTGGCGAACGGGACCAGGTAAGAATTGGTTTCAAGGAAATTTAATCCTTGTTATCTTCACAATGTCAATGTTACAATGTTTTGGCATACGTCTGATACTTTGACTTCATTAACCGACTCTACATGGAGATCTAGTACACTTATTTATCAACTCTCTTAATTCTTTGGAGCTTAATTTTAGCCACTATGATGATAACGTTTGCGCATTTAGACTGCACTATAAACGATGTCAGATATATTTGAAAGTGGTTTTAATTCGTCGGGTATTTCGAACTAAATGGTAAAGTTTATGCCAGTGATACGCATGGTCAGTTCATGAAAATACTTATAACATAATATGCTAAATTGTAGTTTTTATTATTTTTAAAATATGCATATCGTAACTGACAACAGTAGATATATCAAAAATGAAATCTCCAGGCTGCGTACTTCGGTTCTATTTTATTTTAGTTCCTACAACATACACCCCTTTTTTGATACGCCCACATTGAAATGTGGTCGTATATTGCTCTCACCCCCGTCCGTCCGGCGTTCACAATTGCTTGCGGACGCTCTAGAGGCTAAAGTTAATATCCGATTGAATACAATTATACCCTGTGTTTAAGGTCATGAGACCAAGAATCCTGTTGATTTTCAACAATTTCGATAATTACTGCTAGAGTTATGGCCCTTGGTCATTTGAGAAATCTTGTGGACGCGCTAGAGGCTAAAGTTAATATAAATTTATACACAGTGTTTAAGGTCACGAGACAAGCAATCGAAACAAATTCTAATGATTACTGATAATTACTAATGGCTTGTTACTCGTAATCAGATTTTAGTGAGTTGTAAATGTTTTCATTACGGACAAAAAAAAAAAGTGCGACATCCCTCGTTGACTTGCCGGACGACTTAACGGCAGTGTGCGCATGTTTCGTTGCCTGGCAACCTATCGTTTTTGGTTGTACCGAAAAGCAAATTGCATTTCATCTGTCATTCAAAACATAGTATCTGATTTTATAGAAAATAATTACTTCTCATTTAGACATTTTCTACAGCTTCTAAACTGTTTGGCTGATTTCAATACAAATTAGACAATGTATACGTCTTTTCTTAAACCATTTGACAGTTTGGTACTGTTGTTACCTGGGTAGTGGGTCTTCAAGTTTCTTCAGTTGTCGTATGTTTCTTGAGAGAACAAATTAAAACAACTTATTTCACTTGGGTTGCTATTCATTTTCTAGTTTATATGCCAAAAATCTAAAATTATATACTATACAGACTTCAAATTGGGATTAATTTAAATAGAATTTCAGGTTTTGACTTTTTCCTCTTTGTTCTCTTTTTTTATGCACATTTAAATAAATTTGGCAATTTTTTTTATAAGAATAAATATACTACAGTTGCTGGCCCCAATTATATAATATTTCCGTAAAGAAATAAAAAAAGACAACCCCCGTAGGCTCTAATTATGTAAAGAAAACAAACCTTACAGTTATAATTTTACAGCTGAACGATTACTAAGTCATCCGTGTTATGACAGGATTATCAAGAACGTGCTCCCTAGATTTACACAGAACAAATTCAACACGCGTCGAGTCTCAAATTTCCCAAAATTAGTTTTCTTCAAGAAAACAGAAACTCAGATGTAAACGAAAGTCGCAAAAATAAGTCGACATTAAATCTATCATTTTTGAACAAAAAGAGGTCACCATGCGAGGTTACAAAAATTCGCTATAAATGTTTATGAAATGTTATCCTAAACATGTTTACTTCTTGGAGATTGTATATTCGCTACAAATTAAACTTTTCAAATTGAGCTTACGCCACTATAAATATTGAAAAATATGCATGAAAGGTGCGTAAATTATAAACTAGACCATAATAGTCAACATGACGTTGTAACGAAGAACGCAACCAAGTTTAAAAAAAATTGAAAGCACAACGAATATGTGTTGAATATTCAATACATGAAAAGAAAAAGTATTCGCGATAGTGTTTGGGTATAATTAGTATTACGTACTTGGACAGGAATGATTTGCCCAAAAGATGACCGACCAACTTTATTCATCACTAATCACTAAGTTCATTTGACCTTTTAAAATTTTCGGGTTGTTCTGAAGATAGTATCGATTTTAATCTAAAGTGGCCATACCCAAGATAAGAATCAGAGCATTTCAATACCTCAAATGTGGCATTCTTTCGTTGGTCAATCTGATAAAACTTTATCACGTTCGCCACGGGTGATACAAATCTCCACTTAACTTCGACCACTTTCTCAGCAAAATGTGGGTTAATTTATTGAAATAATTAAACACCTACTCTTAGGACAGCGTGTCCTAAAATTTACGTACTTTTCGACTATTGCATTTTAATTATGGTCTCAAAGGCGTAGAATTTATTGGGGCGAAAGACGGAATGGTAAAAACTAAATATATAGTATTACAGCATAATATACTGAAAAGTATGATAATTTCAAACCACAGCTGTATTTTGTTTTTAGATTTTTAAATGTCTCCGCTTTAATTTAGAATTAACTTTTAGGCTTTCAGTATATTAAATAGATTTTATCCTTCTATTTCTAGTAGTTCTTTGATTTTGTTGCAATATAAGAAAGCTAATTACCACCAATCCTCACAAATTTTACGCTTGTCTAAAAATTCAGCTGAAAACCAAAATTATCCCTAACGTATACTGAATGATTGAAACCGTACTGAGATGTAGAGGTTAAAATACCAAAATGAGTTTATACAGGTCTACGAGTTCTTTAAAAAGAATAACACGCTATTCAAGAAAAATAACATGTGCTTTACAATAAAATTAACAAGGGTAAAATGATGTATTACGCCTTTTAAAAGTCTTTATAAAATAAATAAGGTAGAACATTATGATACGCAAATTTGTATTCCGCATCGAAAATTTCTAAGATTTCAATAACGAACAATATTTTGAATGTTCGGTCAAATAGACATTTAGAATTTGGTCGTATATTATCACCACCCCTATCGGTCAACCTGTCGATCTGTCGTCCAAAATTGCTTGTTAAACGTCTTTAGGATTGAGTTATGACCCGGTTGACTTAAAATTTTTATTCATGTGATACAGAGGCATATTCATTTCTGATAATTACTTGCATAGTTATGACCCTTGACCACTTTGAATCTCATGGACCTTCTTGTAGCTTAAGTTATCATTCAACGACCTCTGTGAACCTACAGACGAATTAGTTACATTGGGCGTATGTTTCGTTGCCTGGCAGTCTATCTTATTTTTCGGTAAACATGTCAATTTGCGCATGCAGCGTATAGAATGTGTTTGGCCAAAAAATCAACAGTTTTTGTTTGTTAACTTGATCACGCGATGCTAAACTATATTAACTATTTAATTTGTTATTTTATAATTTTCAGACGGACACGATTACTTCGCGGATTTAGAAGGTCGTGAATGTGTCAACTGTGGAGCGATATCAACACCATTATGGCGTAGAGATGGTACCGGACATTATTTGTGTAATGCCTGTGGACTTTATCATAAAATGAATGGCATTAACCGACCTTTAATAAAACCACAAAGGCGATTGGTAAATATAATTATTTCTATTCAACTTTGTTCATTGCATGGTAATGACGGCTTGTAGAAATAACGCCATTTACAGCTGTGCGGATTTTGGCTTTAATTTGCCTTCCTGTCGACCAAATATATGACATCCCAAGAAATCTCTGTGATTGACAGAAAGCATTTGAAACCGGACAATTTGTTAGACTTGTGTATTTTTCTATAGTATCTTTTCTAAAACTGTTAATTTTTCAGTCTGCCTCAAGACGTATTGGATTGTCATGTTCTAACTGTCATACAAGTACGACTACGTTATGGAGACGTAACAACGAAGGTGAACCAGTCTGTAACGCTTGTGGTCTTTACTATAAATTACATGGGGTAAGAATAATTATATTACAATATATTACAATTCAAGAAAAACCATAACATGCCGTGGGACGAACAATCCACAGTTAATAGAAACACTACAATAGCTAATCACTACACTCACTTGCTCTAAATTATGCGATTATGTTTATTCTATCACATAATCGTTCAGAGTAGTGATACCCGCATCCCATTGTAATTATGAAACAGAAGGGATGCTCGATTGTCACTCCGGAAAGTTCCGAATTGACAGAATTGCAATGGAGCCCCACATAATTCAGCATTGTCACAGTTATGACACTTCCGACAACTGGGGAAGTGTGAGTAGAACATGTTTCAGTCGCCGCAGTTTGTTGAGGAAGTATGTGCTGCAGCCAGAGATACCCGTTTCACTCGATTGTCACTATACGCGGGAACGTTCAATCGAGTAACACCATAGGCTGTCAAAGGGACCATTTCTCTGAACGGGAGAATTTCATATTGATCAGTCCGAATGAAGGCGCTTCGTAATCTATGACCAAAGAAAATTCTTTTATGCATATCTCAACACGTAATGGCCGTTTATGGCACCCAAAGTGCGATAGCGATACCGGAACCTATACTCAGGAGTGACAAGAGGTTTGTGGGTTTTTTTTGTGCTGCTCACCGATAACTGTTTCTGTCTCAGAAGCTGAGGTTTATTTTTTGATTGGGAAAACAGTGGACAATGTATCGTTGAAAACGTGGTAGAAAATAACATTGGTGGGTTTAATAAATCGTGTTTATTAACGTATTCGAACTCTATAGCTATTTAAATAACAAACAATAATTGAAATGTACTAAAAGTACATTACAGGGGTTTATACTTTCACATCACACATTACTGTTAATTGGATGATTCGAACCAAAAGACTGTAAACTAAACTTCGAACAGCAGTGGATTAACTGTTTTTTTATTTGGTGTCTGTCAGTCAAAAAGAGAAAAACAATGGGGGCCCTCAAACTACAATTTGTATATGAGTTTTGATATTTTTCCTAAGTATGTTTGGTTTTCATTTGGCAAAAATGTGTCCTTAACTGCGCTTCTGATCATATCAATATCGTTACAGATCCATCGACCACTAGCAATGAAAAAAGACGGAATACAAACTCGAAAGCGGAAACCAAAGAGTTCGGGAAAAGAACGAATTTCTGCAAACAGTAAAACTTCAGATAAACCGGGTATGTTAACAGACCATTTTTTAAGGTTTTGCAACTGCGGGGACAAGATAGGTGGGTCCCGGGTGGGTTTCGGGTGTGTTCTCCCCCTCTTTCCGGGGCTTGCAGGGGGTCCTCCCCCGCGAACATTTTAAAATTTGACTCTCTTATAAATGACCAATCATGCTCCTGTACTTTGGAGATTTTAGCTCCACTAGCAGAGGAAACTTTTTCAGTACGGTAGACTGTATATTACCCTAGTATGATTCGCCAGGTATCATTTTTGGGTTCTCCTCGGCAAATTAGGCTACTTGCTAAGGGTGGTACAGTAAGCGAATTATGGGTATATTGTAGAAGGCAGAAAAATACACTTGGACCTATTTTCATGTGTTGACCATGTTCGAATCTTACTGAATATTGTTTTAGAGTATTGTTTTCATGCTGTTGGCTGACATCATTTTTCGCCACATTCATCCATTCGATATGCAGTCTGTAGGCATATCTAAATTCCGTTAGTCCAAGACATACCACCAGCCAAGCCACAAGCATTCAGTGGGCTGTTGAATTTTGCAGACAGTTGGATTCCCCCTGAAAGACCCCTTCGCAAAATAGTGATTACTAAACATTTTTTTTCACAAAGGTAACTATTGGCTAAATTCCAATCTTTAACATATTGGAAAATCTGACTTACTTTATTTTTCAAATAAAAGGCATTCTGTAATGGCCCACCATAGTTTAGTTTCGTAAATAATCCAAAATGGCGTGTGTGGCGTCTGTTAGTGAACGTTACACAAAAAATCCCCTTTTAGTGTTTTTCTTCCTGTTTTATTTGTTTTACATATTATTCATCTCTTTACATCTATGTTTATTTTGTTAGCTGACGAAAAGTCTTCAATATTTGTCTGATCTCTCGCGATAGGCTTAAAGATTCGTATCTACGCTATCGGATAGCTAAACACCACGATATCTCAATCAAAACGTTTACCTAACCAAACTATAATACACAGATCATATAGGCATTGCACACTTGAAAAAATAAACGCTGTAAATCTATGATGGCGACCCCCTGTCGTCAAGTGTTTATACGCACGTGCAGTGAAGCAGACGTTTATTTGAATACTGAACAATTATTTGTTTGTGATGATAGTTTCGTAGTCTTTGAGTTTGCTAATTATCTGTATAAACATACCCGCCGTTTTTGGCTGGATGGAACGGTAAATAAAAAATGTATATCCTTTAAAAGAGCAACACAATTGGTGATATATTATATTGTCTTTACCCGGGCCCCTATTCATAAAATATTAAACTAAAATATTTCAAGAATACTGAAGGTTCATTGACTGAGCACTAAATTCATAGGGCAAATTTTAATTCTTGTCCAATGAAAAGGCTACATTCTTGAAATATTTTAGTTTAGGTTTTATTGAATAAGGCCCCAGACTTCAAAACTTTGAAAAAAGCTATTTCACCTTTAAGAGGAATCGTTTACAATAAATTAACTGGTTCACTAATTTCTGTTAATTACGAATTCTTTATTTTTCAGATACCAAAGTTATCCAGTCTTCAGTTCTTAGCTCTACTCAAAATGTGTCAATCAAAAAGGAATCTCAGCCAATCAAATCATCCAATTATGAACATGGCATGTTGTTACCGATTCGGTCACATGCGTCATTTGACGATAATATGACTCCCGAAAAATCTCTTACATCACTGGTGCCAAGTGAAAGTCATTCAATTCTGTTTCAGAGAAGTACGTCACCACACAAAATGATGATGTACAGCTCTAGTTCCTCACATGAAATTTCACCAAAAGCAGCGCATGCACAGCGCCATGAATCTCATGTTCTTCCGTCCTTATCAACTATGTCTGTTGGTGTTTTTTGACGTTTGTCTATTACATACTATTTTTCTATACCAATTTTATATTTTTGACGAATTCTATCGCAATCTAATTTTTGATTCTTATAAACGAAACCAATCCTTCCTTTCTGGAGATTTCTGGCGCAGACATCACCATGTGTGCACTTGAATAAGACACGCTGTCCCCGTATTTCGGTCGTAAAAAGTTGGGTACGGATATATTAATAGTGGAATGCAAGGGTAAGCATGTCATAGTAAGTTCTGTGTCTTGCGACATGCGTACAAACATTCATATTACACGGGAATGTTACGAGTAAGTGTGAATATTCAAAGAAATATTGACCAACACAGACGCCATGCCCCCTTTTTCATTAGACATAAACCTATGTGCCATATCAGGTGGCAGCCCTAATAAAATAAATGACATTTCTAATAAAAAAGTTTTTGTTTGGGACAATTGTTTTATTATCGGTAAAATAACTGTTTTATATTTAACAACAAAACACATACTTATGGAAAACAGCTACTAGTGTATTTAAGGCGACGTTTCGTAGAGTGTTCTCTCAACGTTATCAAGATAATACAGTAAAACAGGTATGAGGCAAATATATATAGACAAAATACAACAACATAACCGAAACCATACATATTTACGTAGAAGTTTTTGACGATTAGACAGAAGCAGAAAATTAATGTGCACAAGAATATAAGTTACTACATTTAGTAACGTAAAAATTTTTTTAATGTACTTTTGTATTGCAAAAAAATCCCAAAATAACAAGTTTTATTGTTTAATATTTATAATAATTGTATAGGTATTATAGATTTTATATATTATATATCAAATATTTCAAAATAAATACATGTATTTATATGTCTTATACGTTTTATTTAATGTTTTCGCCAATTTTATCATAGAAGAAATTAGCTACGTCTTGGTACCCGGTTTGGTCGGCATTTACAGAATGCCATAGTGACATCATCAATTCGACTAGTTCGTTTCATATGACCTCCTCAAGTTTACACATGGAAATGTTTTTTTTTTAAATCGGACAAATTTGTTAACTTAGTGTGTCGAAAATAACTGTTAGTCGTGTTTCTACCTATCACAATTGCGAATCACAATTGAGTTAGTTCGAGTTCCACCAGTGGAGACTTGAATGCAGTCTTTAGTGTGGTGTTTGAACGGAGACGCCCATAATGGTTTTAAAAGTTGATTCTACTGCTCTCATCCATATCTATTGTTAACTGGAAGCATATACCTTTATTACGCTGATAACAATTCTTGGTGTTAAAGATGATCAGACAAATACTATGATACAAAATATTCAATTATGGGACTATTTTTGTTGGTGTCCATCCTTTGTTAATCCCTAATTGTCGTGGAGTATTTTGAGTTTACTCTTTATCACACGGGCGGTTCATCCTCATGAACAAATGTCCTTGAAGTCCCAAATAGTGAAATTAAAGATGTAATACCACAACAATCTGGATCGAAATCGGTCTTTGTACAAAATAGTAATCTGGCTTTGACGAGGATTTTTGTTGAAGCATCATAATTCATCGTTCAATGAATCAGCCAAAGCAGTGAGGTTAAAATCACAAAATATCCGTAGTAAAATCTCGAAAAATAACGGCAAGTAGCGCCTAGTGGAGTGAATTTTTCTGGAATTTCAGTTTGAGTTTGAGAAATAGACACACTGAATCAAAATCATAATTGTGTGATTTTCTGAAACTCTGAGTTCCGGGTGGGAATTGCATTACCCCACCCAATAGTCAGTAAAAGTCCCGTATTTCGGGCACTTCATTTTTCGGGATGGAATAATTTTCACATTTTTCCTTTTACATCTAGTAAATTTGATGATCATTGGCCGACTATGATTAGAAAGCTTCGGCCATTTAATGATTCAATTTAATAATGGAGAAGTGAGGCTAAGTCTCAAAAAACAAGTACCGTTGTTACGATAATAAACAATTCTTGTATTTTGCCAAAACCGCAAACAGTGATAACTTAGCCCAGAACAAAGTAATTTGAATGAAATTTTCAATATTTTCATTTTGCATTATCTATTTTTGAACTATTATAGTAAGAACGACCAGCTCTGTATCTAAATTTACGTAATGCATCTTTAGAACATATACAACATAAAAAGATATCTATGTCATAAAATCAAGTCCGGACGATAGCCTTGACAGTACCTTTAAATTGATTATAGTTCATTAGTACAGAGCGCCAACCACTGCTTATGCCCTTTATATCCTGTTACGCAGCGCTCCTCCGTTTACCATTTTGCAAATTTACTACATAATGTCGATTATGTTAAAATTTGTATCTTAAAAACTATGTTTTGGTAACAAATATATTCTTCCTGGTACAAATGTAGTTTGAATATGTTTTGAAATCGGTGCCTATGTATATTTAGGAAATATATCTTTAAATATTATGTATTATGTAAGAGCTTAATCTGCCTACAGCAGGTTTCACATGTTATATAGATTTAGACATTTATTCCCATGATCATGTCCATAATCAACTCTCTTAAACATTGGATGGCTTGGATTAGACCATCCACGCCATTTAATCGACTGACCTTAAAATGGTACTTAATAATCGAGACTTCAAACACTCTTAATTTAGCTCAGAATAAAGTAAATTGATTGGAATTTTTAATATATTCTTTATTCGTATCTACCATAACTATTATAGCAAGAGTGGTCAGCTCTTTATCCAAATCTTACTTAAAGCATCTTTTACTAAAACATAATATCCATGATGTCGATCTGCGCGTTGTTATTCTTTGTAGATCAGAAACATACGCAGTAGTAATTAGTTTTAATGGTTAAAATATATATGAATAGAAAAGATAAACGCAAGTCAGAGAGTCATGTCTGGTTGGTAAAATAGGCGTCAAAACTTTTCAAATAAAAGCAAAATGTGGTGTATATCAAACCACACAAACCCGCCATTATAAATCACGAAAGGCCAGGCAAATAAAACTGATAAGACGATCGACCACACGTTCGCTAAACCTAAACAAAAGGATGAGGTCCCCCTTAGTTTATCGTTACAAATGTCAGATTGTTTGCAAACATTGGAAATCGCTGTGAAATATACAGCAAGCCGTCTGTTTTACACATTGGTTTTACGTCAAACTAAAACACGTTTCCAGAATTTTATATTGAATTAAATACTCTTTATTTTGCGAATAATTAACCTTGACAACAGATGATTTTCTGTGCCTCAATTAGATAAAACACATGGCGGGTGTCACACACGACGCAATATATATTCTGCTCCCCACTTCTCATTGAAGTGGGAAGTTCCTATTGCAGCATGCTCGTAACTACATTCGAACGTTAAGAACGCGAGAAGTTGCACGCTCTTGCTACTCTCCAGAGTGGCCCTAGACAAAAATTTGGATAGTTTTCGTGACGCCAAGAACGTATATATTATGTCCAGTGACGTTGGATTATCAGCACCCATGGGCAAATTTTGGTCTATTGCATTTACAAAGGAAATAAATATTGCCGCTTACATTTAACAAGGACATGGTGTGATGTTTTTGTCTTTAGTTACGATTGGCCCTTAACTTGGACCTATTTTTTTTTAAAATTAACGCCGAGAAGGTCTTATCAAAAGAACCTTGGATCAGACCCGAGCTTCTAGATAAGTGGAAATGTCGGTATCTCCTATAGCAAAACTCTGTAACCTCGATATATACTTAATTATCTCGACTTAGTATCTCAAGCGCTCGACTTAATATCTCGAGCGCTCGAGATATTATTTTTCTTTTTGCGTGTCCTAAATCAGCCACCGTACACTGAACACCCCGACCCCCAAATTGGGCCTTTACTGTGTTGCACAACATGAATGATATTATTTAAAGTGTGGCGTGATTTAGACTACTTGGAAAGTAGTTTCCTACACCTAGGAAGTCTCAAGAACCAGTATGTCTTATTAGACATAGCACCGGGGTTTACACACTACGAGCTTTGAGTGATTTTGTTTCACTTCTACAAAACATCTTCAAGCGACCATCCTGGTCTAAATATACACCTACCAATCTATATATCTACCTATTTATGTATATAAAAAGATAAGTAAAGTCAAGTTTATCAGGAATCCTGCCGGTGCAACCATGAGATATGATAAATGGAGGGGAGTATATCAGATTTGAGCAGACGGCTGTTGAAGAGGCAGACGTGAAGTCGTGTTTTGGTGAGCACTTGATCAAAAAGATACCCAAATTTATCACCGCCCATCTTTACTCTTATCTTATCTATTAACGTGTCATACCAGCGATTCACAATGTTTCGTTTCATGTCTAATTTTCCGTTCCCATATTTTATGTTACATTTCCCTGAACGCATCATTTTCCGTGGCTTAATTTCGTGTTGAGGTCAGATAGTCCCCTTTTTAAGGCACACTTTCTGTTCATTTTCCGTGCCTTAATTTTATAATGCACAGTTTTTCAATCTGTACAGATATGTCTAAAGTTTTGACACAGATCTTCGTCCCCGAAGATAATCCTTTATGAACCATCTCCATTGACATATTTAATTTTGAATGTTGCAGTAGGATTAGACCCAAAATTACACTTTCAATTTCTAAATTACAAATCAAAAATTCATATTTTATATAATTTTTGCACTTTTTCAAAACTATAATTAATGTACTGTGAAACTGCGAAAACTAAACTAGCGAAATTTAAATCTGGCCTTAAATTAATCATGTACATATAACCTGTTTTATATGTTGATGACTGAAACAAACATTCGAACATTAGGAAATTAATAGCTAGTATAACTCAATTGTTTGTGTTTTTAATGGTGCTTTACATGGCATAAGATCTTATCAAAACATTAAATCATTATAAGACCTTGCCACTGAAAGTATGTTTCCAACTAAATAAAATATGCATGAAACCTTTCCTTAGGAATAACATAAACATATAGAACATATTTATTTCTGTTATGAAATATCTCCCACCCACCCCGCTCCGGTATAAAGCCCAATGATTTTTTGATCTCACATCTGGATTGGACAAGAAGACAGAAAAAAGTATGTAAAATACAAAAGCGGTTTTTGAGAGGATGGAAAATCTTGATTTTTGGACTTGGTCCCAAAGCACTACCCATCTTGTAATTATTCATAGGGGCTACGCTCTTCGAAAAAAGCCTAAGGCTCAGACAATTCAAGTACGATCGACATGAAACTTGGCATGATTGCTTCCTTGAGAAGTGTGCATTGACTGATGTACTTCGAATCACAATACCAAGATGTCGATCTATAACGGCATGCTCGGTACTTGGTCCATTATCGTACTTGTGAATTGTTCATTTTGGTATAGCGTTAATGACGCTAGTCTAGATTATTTAGCGTCCAGTTTGAAAACGCCAATTTTGATTTTTTATGCACTTAAAACAACATCAAAAGATCATTAATTAACTAACCAAATTTGTTCTAGTCTGCATACTTTTACGAATATAATTTATGCATTCGAGTCTTAGTATTCTGTCTGGAATCTTATTAATTAAATTCTTTAATGACTTCTGGCCATGTTATCCTTTTAATACGTCGGTGGTATAAATTTAGTTTAATAACTACTATTAAGATAAATAAGTAGATAAGAACTAATACCGTTCAGACGCTTATTTTTAAACCAATTCAAAGTCGCCGGGGTTCTTAAAAAAGGGTCTGTTGCGTTCTCACGTATTATAAGTCAAACCAGTTTAACTATTCTGGGCCCTTATTCACGAAAACTTAAACTAAGTTACAACCGAAATTTTAAGAA